TTCTGCGGGTTAACATTGAGGCTTCTCGGTTGAGCCCAACTCATGGCCGTATTCAGAGCCTACTCAGCTCTTCTACACAAGTAATTTGGATCCTTTCCCTTTAAAAGTAATATGACATCGTCTGCATAGCAGACAGGTCTAAGTCCTTTCTCGGTTAGGATCCTTAGGAGGCTATTAATCGTGGTAACCCAGAATAAAGGAGACAAAATGCCACCATGTGGCATACGTTTTTCCTGATAGTTATATCGTACATCTCGCAGTTTATCCATCTGTTCCTTACCATGTAGTTGATCAAATTACGGAGCACCCGGTCAATATAAAACAGGTCTAGGGATTTGATAAGAGTATCAGTGTGCACGTTATTGAAGGCGCCTTCGATGTCAATGCATACCGCCAGTGTATACTGTTTGCTATCGAAGGATTCACCTACATATGTAGTGGACAACATCGTTTAAAGCTGATTCCCTTTACTTTGCATGCTGCTTATATTTAAGGTCTTTGTCTGGTATATTGCTTTTAAGCATACTATCGACTATCCGTTCTAAGGTTTTAAGTAGGAAGGACGTAAGGCTTATTGTATACCTGGTTTGGGTATATATATTACCCTTTCATCCTGCTCGATAACTATAGTATTAAATGGCATAAGATCCAGCAGGAGACCTAATCAACAGGTTATTTGACTTCAAATAATTTAATATAAATATCGTCCTCCAATTACACATAAATCTTTTTGAAACTACACAGAGTTAAATAACCTTTTTTAAAGAGGTTCTTTCTTCCCTTTCGAATAAGAAATCTGTGATGTTTACAAAATTTAAATAAAATGTTTCTATAACTTTACATTCTTTGTAATATTTTATTCAAATTTTCGATCATAAAACTAAACTAATTTTGCGAAAGTGTAATTTTTAACAAATAACTAATTTAATATTTTCCAATAATTATATGCCGCAACACGTTCAAGTTTAAGAAAACAAATCCTATAAAGTCATCCGAAATCCATTAACATTTTTCAGTTTTAGTTAAACTTCGTTTTCAATATGAAACTTCAAATCACTTTAATATTTTGTTCACTTTTACTGGCATCTGTGGAATCACGTTTTGCTCCTCTCTTGGAAAAAGTTGGAGGCGTTTTAGATGTACCTGTGGATTTATTAACAGGATTTATTGTCAAGATATATAATACAAGTAAATCTCTCTTGGATGGCAACTCTACACATCAAATATTAACGGATATTGGAAAAATTCCTCAAATAATAATAAATACGGGTGAAAAGGCACAAGTACCAATTACTGGAGATCAAAACCCTCCACAAAGTAATGCCCCAATCACAATCACCACCAACACACCACCAGGATCAAATGATCAAAGGACACAAATACCAATAGAAACTACAACAACTATAACTACAGAACAAATTTCAACTCCACCTTCAGAAACAGAATAAATTTTTTAAAACTTTAACAATTTATTAAAATTACTTTATTGCTTACTATAAACATGTCATTAAAAGTATCTATTAGATAATCAAAACATAAAGATAAGATATTAACATTTTGATTTAAAGAAAAAAAAAAACGAGCACCTTAACATATGCAAAGAATTGTCCCAGTGAATTGTTTTAATTACAGTGGGAACAAAGTATGTAATTTTGTTTATTTTATGTGGTGAACATATTTAAAGTACACATATTCATTAGGGTGATCCCTTTTTAATGGCAACAAATATTGTACTAATGTTCTCAACGAAAATGAATGCTTAGTTCATTCTAAGATACAGTTGTCGAGTGCCAATATTTGGAGAACTTGATCAAAGGATAAATAGCTCATTTTTAAGGATATTAGTCTGTCTATTAGACAGACTAGCATGGTCAAAACGGGTCAAAAAAGTCGAAGCGCAATAACGGGTAGATCGGGTTCTTTTAGTAATGTAAAAAGTGACACTCTTATCAAATCCTTATACCAATTCCATGACCGTGCGATTCTTACTATGCATTTTAGCTTAGATTTTATCACCATTGCTCTGGATAATCACAATTATAGCCTTCTTAGGCCTTAAACGTGTTTCCATTTTCTGATGAATCGCTTGGTGTGTTATTGGCCCACTGGAACCTGATCATAATTAGAAATATCACATAGAGAGTAGAACCAACAATGCTACCGATGTTGGGCGTTATTTGGGAAAATAGGATTAAAATAGTATGTATGACATACCGGCTTATAAAAACGCCAATAGACAAACTTACGCTTCAATAATCTGGTGGACCTGCTTTGGACAAAAAGTATTCAGCATTCATGTTGCTAGGGTGTAAGTGGGGCCCTGAGCTCTACGTCAACCAAAGTTTTATAAACATTGTTGCACATTCCTCATTCAAATAAATGTAGGCGTCGGCACTCATAACCGAGAAGCTGTTATCCAATGTATACTGAACTAATTGGACATTAATATTGTTCCCAGATAGGAGATCATGGTTAAGCAGAACATAAAAGCAAAGTTCTGCGTCAACATGTTGTTACACAGATGGCTCTTAAATGTGAGACAAAACTGTCTTGGGAAAGTACAATACTAGCTTACAGGAGAAATAAAGGTTTCTAAAGACTTTTGATTGAATTTTAATGTATTTTTAGCTGCTGAAACAAAATCGGATATCTTAGTTAGTTAGTTAGTTAGTTAGTTAGTAGTTAGTTAGTTAGTTAGTTAGTTAGTTAGAGGTAGTTAGTTAGTTAGTTAGTTAGTTAGTTAGTTAGTAGTTAGTTAGTTAGTTAGTAGTTAGTTAGTTAGTTAGTTAGTTAGTTAGTAGTAGTTAGTTAGTTTAGTTAGTTTAGTTAGTTAGTATAGTTAGTTAGTTAGTTAGTTAGTAGTTAGTTAGTTAGTTAGTTAGTAGTTAGTTAGGTTAGGTAGTTAGTAGTAGTAGTTAGTTAGTTAGTTAGTTAGTTAGTTAGTAGTTAGTAAGTTAGTTAGTTAGTTAGTTAGTTAGTTAGTAGTTAGTTAGTTAGTTAGTTAGTTAGTTAGTTAGTTAGTTAGTTAGTTAGTTAGTTAGTTAGTTAGTTAGTTAGTTAGTTAGTTAGTTAGTTAGTTAGTTAGTTAGTTAGTTAGTTAGTTAGTTAGTTAGTTAGTTAGTTAGTAGTTAGTTAGTTAGTTAGTTAGTTAGTTAGTTAGTTAGTTAGTTAGTTAGTTAGTAGTTAGTTAGTTAGTTAGTTAGTTAGTTAGTTAGTTAGTTAGTTAGTTAGTAGTTAGTTAGTTAGTTAGTTAGTAGTTAGTTAGTTAGTTTAGTTAGTTAGTTAGTAGTTAGTAGTTAGTTAGTTAGTTAGTTAGTAGTTAGTTAGTTAGTTAGTTAGTTAGTTAGTTAGTTAGTTAGTTAGTAGTTAGTTAGTTAGTTAGTTAGTTAGTTAGTTAGTTAGTTAGTTAGTTAGTTAGTTAGTTAGTTAGTTAGTTAGTTAGTTAGTTAGTTAGTTAGTTAGTTAGTTAGTTAGTTAGTTAGTTAGTTAGTTAGTAGTTAGTTAGTTAGTTAGTTAGTTAGTTAGTAGTTAGTTAGTTAGTTAGTTAGTTAGTTAGTTAGTTAGTTAGTAGTTAGTTAGTTAGTTAGTTAGTTAGTTAGTAGTTAGTTAGTTAGTTAGTTAGTTAGTTAGTTAGTTCGTTAGTTAGTTAGTTAGTTAGTTAGTTAGTAGTTAGTTAGTTAGTTAGTTAGTTAGTTAGTTAGTTAGTTAGTTAGTTAGTTAGTTAGTTAGTTAGTTAGTTAGTTAGTTAGTTAGTAGTTAGTAGTTAGTTAGTTAGTTAGTTAGTTAGTAGTTAGTTAGTTAGTTAGTTAGTTAGTTAGTTAGTTAGTAGTTAGTTAGTTAGTTAGTTAGTAGTTAGTTAGTTAGTTAGTTAGTTAGTTAGTTAGTTAGTTAGTTAGTTAGTTAGTTAGTTAGTTAGTTAGTTAGTTAGTTAGTTAGTTAGTTAGTTAGTTAGTTAGTTAGTTAGTTAGTTAGTTAGTTAGTTAGTTAGTTAGTTAGTTAGTTAGTTAGTTAGTTAGTTAGTTAGTAGTTAGTTAGTTAGTTAGTTAGTTAGTTAGTAGTAGTTAGTTATGTTAGTTAGTAGTTAGTTAGTTAGTTAGTTAGTTAGTTAGGTTAGTTTAGTTAGTTAGTTAGTTAGTTAGTTAGTCTTAGTTAGTTAGTAGTAGTTAGTTAGTTAGTTTAGTTAGTTAGTTAGTTAGTTAGTAGTTAGTTAGTTAGTTAGTTAGTTAGTTAGTTAGTTAGTTAGTTAGTTGTTAGTTAGTAGTTAGTTAGTTAGTTAGTTAGTTAGTTAGTTAGTTAGTTAGTTAGTTAGTCGTTAGTTAGTTAGTTAGTTAGTAGTTGTTAGTTTAGTTAGTTAGTTAGTTAGTTAGTTAGTAGTTAGTTAGTTAGTTAGGTTAGTTAGTTAGTAGTTAGTAGTTAGTTAGTTAGTTAGTTAGTTAGTTAGGTTAGTTAGTAGTTCGTTAGTTAGTTAGTTAGTTAGTAGTTAGTTAGTTAGTTAGTTAGTAGTTAGTTAGTTAGTTAGTTAGTTAGTTAGTTAGTTAGTAGTTAGTTAGTGTCGATTGGTGAATATGCAATTTACGTTGTCAGCTTAACACTTTTTGAGGACGTTCGTAAAATATAGTTTCATTTTTATATGTGACACAATAACTCTACTCACATTCATTAAATTTCCCAAAAATTATTTCGTGTGAAAATATGCTTTTTACATTTCAGTGAAAGACCTCAATTTATTTAATTAAGCTAGTAATAATTGACTCAAGGAACAGAAATTTTACAGAGAAAAATTCTTACGTATTTCGAAACAAATTCTTAATTAATACATTAAATAAATAAATTATAATTAAGTCGACTTAATATAAAGCTAAATTGAAACTACTTAAAACAAGTCAAAAATACACAATCGCACGAAATTGGTCAATAAGCCGTTGAATACAAATAAAATAATAAAATAGGGAAAATGATCATTACCTCACCTATCCGAAAAGAGCAAACATTGAATAGAATATGTAAAGCTAATCGAATGTCAGAGATGTTTGCTACTTTCACAGTTATAACTGTATAGCAGCAGTATATGTATGCATGTATTGATTTGGAAAATCCATGATGTGAACTAACAAAAATTTCGTAAACAGTTTTATTATTTAAAATACGTTTATTACTTGAGTAACAGTAAAAATTCTGCTAAATCGGTGATTTCCATGTATGTACTTAGGATTTCCCTTATCAGTTTGTTAATAAATATTCTAAACGAATATTTTGTCAAAGTATAAAAATCTCTAGGCGATAAGCGAATTTTATTCAGTCATTACATTCACTTGAGAAAATAAACATGAAATTTCTGTTGTTTTTGACATATTTGTGTGCTCTATTGGCATTTATTAAAGGTTTGTATTTTGTATAGAATTGAGGAATTTTTATTATAGTTTATTTAATTTTCTTTTTTATTTTTTAGCTTCTCCCCTGCCTGGCGGTGGAGGTGGTGGAGGCGGCGGTGGTGGGGGTCGCGGTTGTAATTGTGAACCCGGTGGTGGAGGAGGAGGTGGCGGAGGCGGTGGTGGTGGTCATGGAAATGGACCGGGTGGACCAGGTGGTGCAGGTGGACCTGATTGTGTGCGTCCTTCTTGGTTGCCTCCCTGTCCATAAAACAACTTCAATATGATAGGTTAAAAATTGTTAAGTTTTGATTGTTATTTAAAAAAAATACTTAGTATAAATTATAAATTTATAAATACTGTTCTAAGTTAGTAGTTTGATTGAAGTGAAAATATTAATAGATGCATTTTATTAATTACATATTAACTTAGTTATTAGAAGATTCAAACTACGGTTAATCGATTAAATTTGATCGACATATTACATCAGAACTGAAGGCCACTATCGGGCCTGTTTTGCATAATATTGATGTAAAGACTTTAATCTATGAAAGGAATGATCATCCAATCTTTAGACATTTAATTTAGTTAGATGTTTTTTATCAGTATTCCTAAGGGATGTAATATCTGAAATAACATCGCTCTTAAGATATTTGGATCCAATTTCGACAAAAGCCTGGCAATGACAGAGAAAGTGTTTCACTGTTTTCTCCACACAAGTTCTATATTGATCAGAATCTGTTCGTCCAATTTTGTATAGTTGTGCCACGAATCAGTCCAGGACCAGTCCTTTTAATGCTCCTATCTACCAAGCCCATGTTTTTAATCAGATAAATTTCCTCAAAGTCTTTTCAATTTACAGCAATTACATTAGCTTTTTCATTGCCGATTACACAGGCCGACAAATTTAAAAAAAAAAAGTAGAAACTCAAATTTTACTTTTCTAAAGTATTGAGCCAAGATTAAACCAAATCTGACCTCGGATTTTCTTCATCAAATCTGGGATTTGGGATATCGTGTCCTGAAGTTTGAAAAACCCCAATTTTGACCCTTTTTGACATGTTAAAACTGCGCCTAGAATACTTTATTTATAAAATTTGGTATACCATTTGAAAGTCAACTTTAAAATAAAGACTTAACATCTGGCACATCTTCATTCTGCTCCGAGATATCTTCACTTAAAGCATGGTTTTCGGTATTTATAACCTACACTACTATAATGCGGAGTTTATTATGCTTTGTAAATATAATTTATAACGATCAAACATATTGGGTTCGTATTTGCCTAAGGATTCCACCGGGGGTATGTTACCTTAGTAAAATCTCCATCTTGGTGTTGTTGCAATATCCCGGGGAAAAGAGGTGCTACTAATACCTCTAGTCTACAGGGACTATAAACTGGTGATAATAAAATGTATCCTCGGCCTTTCCTTTTAATGATTTGACATGGGGTCGAACCAGAGCTCTATATAATCTGGCACTACGGGTGGCCAGTTTCCCGCAGGACATGTCCTGGCTGATCAGTTGGTTGAGGTTCCTTCCGGATCCACGTAGTAGTGGTTTAAACCCAAATTCGCGGGGAGAGTATATTGGTTTAAGGACTGATATTTCCTATGCCATATATGTCTGGATTCTCTCTCCGGCGCTGTTGCCATCTCAACAGATGTCACTGGGTGATGTGACAGAGCAACTTATGCTGTATTCCTGAATTCGTTGAGTATCTCTTACTCTTCGCGTAGTAGGGCGCCAGTATAGATTGGGGATTTCTCAGGTTGACACTTGGTAGTTGCTTGTCATTCCGTAGATCGTTCTTTATGGTCTGAGAATGGAACTGATGTAATTAGTGAACGATCGGGAAAGACTCCTCTGCCCGACAGGTGACCAGTACTGATTTATAAGACCTTTTATTTCAGGAAAGTTCTTGGTGCTGTTGCCATCTCAACAGGATGCATATAGTTTCTTGCTACGCGACTTATGGTTGACACCTGCCACTCAACATGTCGGGGCAATTATTGGGTTCGAATTGACTTTGGAAATTCCTACATTCTTTGTCACATTATCTGACATACAGAGAGATCCTGATTCGGTGCTGTTGCAGAATCAAAAGGGCCATCTCAGTAATGTGATTGCGCGGGCTTTAAAAGTTATAGGAATACACTGGAATGGGTCATTAGTTGATGGGGATTGCACTTTAAATAATGCAATCTTTCATGACATCTAAAGGGTGGTCACCTTTGATTTCACCTGATGTTGGGTTTGTCTCCCCTTCTATTGACTTTAGACCAGTGATTGCTTTTTCCTTGTCGGGGTTTGCAATGGGATTGATCCCATGCTGACTGTCATTCCGCAACAAGGCTACTATGGCAAGAGATTAGATGTCTCGAGTACTTGTATATGGATGGCAGTCAAGACAGGTGTTCAGGTTAAGCACTTAGACATCTTACCTGAGAATGTTCCAATCGACTCACAACAACTTTCTGATTCTGAGATGTCTGTCCGTCAACTTGCGACATATTTTTAAAAATTCAAAAAATTCAATTCTTGATAACATGAACTTCTACCTGTATTCTAATATTGTATTATTTTATAGAAACTGTAAGTGTAGATTAGTACTACCAAAGAATATGTAATAAATATTCTTTGGTAATACTCACAAAGTTATAAAACAAAAATCACTTAAAGTACAACTTTTATAACATATTTTACACCTGAAAAAAGTCAAAATATTAAGAGTTAATTTAAAGAAACGCCTTAAATTCTGCAAATAATATTTCAAGTGATTCTTCAAGTGCAAATAATATTTCAAGTGATTCTTATGGGTTGGGTATATTGATTTTGTTATTCCGTTTGTAACTCAGCGAAATATTAGTTGTAGACCCACAAAAGTATAAATATTCTAGGTCCTTATTAGATACTAAAGCGTTCTGTCTAAAGCAGTTCATCTTTTAAAATGACCATAATACCAAATAAGACGAACAATTGTGTCGTTCCCACGAATAACTCAAAGTTCAAAGAACAACGACCAATGTTTGTCAACTCAGCTACACCGACTTTACACGTGTTGCCCTCACACAAATGTTCTGAAATTCAACTATTTGAAAACGTGTATGGGGATCTACATTGAAAACCCGTAAAACAAGATCTACTACCGTCGAGATGTACAGCCTTCTGTAAGAGAGCTATAACCAACGTAAAGAGAGCTGAAATTAATACATAGAGAGAGAATTTCATTAGTTTATTTGAAATAATGGGACTTAGGACCACTAAAAACCGATGCGGTAACCCCAACAAAAGCAGGACGATAAGTCTCATCAGAATGTATAAGAACGAACGGACTCAGACGAATGAATTTACTACAGTAACCCATTTAAGATGGTCCAATATGTTGTGTAAAGGGTTTCGTTAACCCCGCCAAAAAACTAAAAAATCCAATTTTTGAGGGTTTTCAAAACTTTTTTGGGTAAATTTCTGAAAAATAAAGTTAGACTGGTGGTTGTGGATTCGATTACCATCTCGGTTACCTCTGCTCTGCTACACTACAACGCGCGTGTGACCATCGTCATCCTGCTCGGTAAATAAGGTTACCACCTTAAACATTTTCCAAAAAACTGTTAGTCAATGCATTTTCCACCATCTCCACCCTTGCCACCTTTGCCGCTACCGCCACCACCACCACCGTTGCAACCACCGCCTCCTTTTCCACCCTTACCACCATCAGAACCGCCACCATTACCGCCATCAGAACCGCCACCTTTACCACCATCATATCCACCTCCTCTACCGCCATCAGAACCACCACCGGTGGTAGAGGCGGTGGTGGTTCTGATGGCGGTAGAGGAGGTGGATATGATGGTGGTAAAGGTGGCGGTTCTGATGGCGGTAATGGTGGCGGTTCTGATGGTGGTAAGGGTGGAAAAGGAGGCGGTGGTTGCAACGGTGGTGGTGGTGGCGGTAGCGGCAAAGGTGGCAAGGGTGGAGATGGTGGAAAATGCATTGACTAACAGTTTTTTGGAAAATGTTTAAGGTTTTCAAATGTTTAAAATTTATAATTAAAATTGAATTTTTTAATAAAAACATTTCTTTTTAAAACATTTTAGTAATTTTAATAAATTCCTGACATGTCCCAGCAAAAACTACACTTACAAGATAAGCAAAGTGGAGCTACTTACTTTTTGAGTAAACTTTTATTCCTCGATGTTAAAAAATAAGTGATTTCAAATAAACTTACCCAACATAACCGGATTATAAGCCATCCGGGTTATAATGGTACTTTTTGAATTCCCTCTAATATGAAATCAAATCACATGAAATTAAACATGACCGTGAATGTGAATGTTATTGAATGAGAACCTATAAGAAAGAACTTTTTGGTACTTTTTCCTTATTCAAATAGTACTTTTAGATGTTTCTATAAAATAGAATTAAAACACAAAAAATTTAACTTTCACAGTCTTGATTGAATGAAAATCTGTAAGAGGGAACTTTTTGGTACTTTTTCGTTATCAAAAAACAACATTTTATACCCTTTCCTTATACAAATAGTACTTTTATATTTTTCTATAAAATGGAACCAAAATACACAAAATTAAACTTTCACGGTCCTGATTGAATGAAGATCGATAAGAGGGAACGTTTTTGGTACTTTTTTATTATTCAGAGAGCAATATTTTGGTACTTTTTTTATTCAAATGGCGCTTTTAGAATATTCTATACTATGGAATCTAATCACATGAAATTAAACATTCACAGTTCTGATTGAATGAGAATGCACAGTGGGGCAGAATGGAAATTTTTTGGAAATAAATCTGGCATTTCTAAACGGCTGATCCGATCGGGATAAAATTTGGCGTGAGCGTAGCCAAGGAGTATTCGAGTTTAAGTTTTGAAGATGAACCCTGCAGATGCCCCAGGGAATGTAAATGAGGGAACTTTTTTGGCACTTTTTCGTTATTCAAAAAGCTACATTTTGGTTCTTTTTCGTTATTTTAATGGTACTTTTTGAATTTTCTATAAAATGGAACCAAAACACATGAAATTAAACATTCAAGGTCCTTACTAAATGAAAATGTATAAGAGGGAACTGTTTTTGGTACTTTTTCGTTGCTCAAAAAGCAATATTTGGTACGTTTGTGCTCTTCAAATAATACTTTTAGAATTTTCTATCATATGGAATCAAATTACATGGAATTAAACATTCAAGGTCCCGACTAAATGAAAATGTATAAGAGGGAACTGTTTTTGGTACTTTTTCGTTGTTCAAAAAGCAACATTTTGATACTTTTTTATTCTTCAAATATTACTTTTAGAATTTTCTTTCGAATCACATGAAATTAAACATTCACGGTCCTGATTGAATGAGAATCTATATGAGGGAATTTTTTTTTTTGGTACTTTTTGGTTATTCAAAAAGCAACATTTTAGCACTTTTTCCTTATTCAAATAGTACTTTTAGATTTTCCTATAAAATGGAACCAAAACTCCAAAAATTTAACATTCACGGTCCTGATTGAATGAGCATCTGTAAGAGGGAACTTTTTGGTACTTTTTCGTTATTCAAAAAGAAATATTTTGGTACATTTTTACTCTTCAAATGGTACTTTTTGAATTTTCTATAATATGGAATCGAATCACATGAAATTAAACAGTCAAGGTCTTGATTGAATGCGATTTTATGAAAGTGATTTTTTTGACTTTTTAGTTCTTCAAATGGTACATTTAGAAAATTCTATAATATGGAATCTATTCACAAGAAATTAAACATTCACGGTCCTGAATGAATGAGAATCTATGAAAAGCAACTTTTTAGTACTTTTTCTTTCTCCAAATGGTTCTTTTTTGTAAAATAATATATTATTTAATTTTTTTCTAAATTTTAAAACAATAATGAAAACTTAATTATATTATGCCTATTAGGGACAGGGAGGCAACCAAGAAGGCCTTATACAATCAGGTCCTGCAGCACCACCGGATCCACCCGGTCCATTTCCATTTCCACCGCCTCCGACACCTCCTCCACCACCACCAGACTCACAATTACAACCGCGACCAGTACCGCCGCCGCCTCCACCACCTCCTCCTCCACCATCAGGCAGGGGAGAAGCTGAAAAGTATAAAGAAAATTAAGTAAATTTTAAACTGAATGTTTTATATATATATTTATTTTTTTTAATACAAACCTCTAATAAATACCAGTAGAACACACAAATATGTCAATAACACTAGATATCTCATGTTCAGTTTCTCAAGCGAATTTAATGACTGAATTAATTTTGTTTATCACTTGGAGATTTTTATACTTTTGCAAAATATTTGTTTAAAATATTCAATAAATTCCAAATGTATTTCAATTAGATTTGTAAACAAACTGAGGGATATTTTATTAACCCTTTTGTCTAAAAATTACACAATTAAGGGGTCTGATGGTGAATTAATTTATTTGTTCATTACAATACAAATTTGTATTGTAATGAACAAATAAATTAATTCACCATCAGACCCCTTAATTGTGTAATTTTTAGACAAAAGGGTTAATAAAATATCCCTCAGTTTGTTTACAAATCTAATTGAAATACATTTGGAATTTATTGAATATTTTAAACAAATATTTTGCAAAAGTATAAAAATCTCCAAGTGATAAACAAAATTAATTCAGTCATTAAATTCGCTTGAGAAACTGAACATGAGATATCTAGTGTTATTGACATATTTGTGTGTTCTACTGGTATTTATTAGAGGTTTGTATTAAAAAAAATAAATATATATATAAAACATTCAGTTTAAAATTTACTTAATTTTCTTTATACTTTTCAGCTTCTCCCCTGCCTGATGGTGGAGGAGGAGGTGGTGGAGGCGGCGGCGGTACTGGTCGCGGTTGTAATTGTGAGTCTGGTGGTGGTGGAGGAGGTGTCGGAGGCGGTGGAAATGGAAATGGACCGGGTGGATCCGGTGGTGCTGCAGGACCTGATTGTATAAGGCCTTCTTGGTTGCCTCCCTGTCCCTAATAGGCATAATATAATTAAGTTTTCATTATTGTTTTAAAATTTAGAAAAAAATTAAATAATATATTATTTTACAAAAAAGAACCATTTGGAGAAAGAAAAAGTACTAAAAAGTTGCTTTTCATAGATTCTCATTCATTCAGGACCGTGAATGTTTAATTTCTTGTGAATAGATTCCATATTATAGAATTTTCTAAATGTACCATTTGAAGAACTAAAAAGTCAAAAAAATCACTTTCATAAAATCGCATTCAATCAAGACCTTGACTGTTTAATTTCATGTGATTCGATTCCATATTATAGAAAATTCAAAAAGTACCATTTGAAGAGTAAAAATGTACCAAAATATTTCTTTTTGAATAACGAAAAAGTACCAAAAAGTTCCCTCTTACAGATGCTCATTCAATCAGGACCGTGAATGTTAAATTTTTGGAGTTTTGGTTCCATTTTATAGGAAAATCTAAAAGTACTATTTGAATAAGGAAAAAGTGCTAAAATGTTGCTTTTTGAATAACCAAAAAGTACCAAAAAAAAAAATTCCCTCATATAGATTCTCATTCAATCAGGACCGTGAATGTTTAATTTCATGTGATTCGAAAGAAAATTCTAAAAGTAATATTTGAAGAATAAAAAAGTATCAAAATGTTGCTTTTTGAACAACGAAAAAGTACCAAAAACAGTTCCCTCTTATACATTTTCATTTAGTCGGGACCTTGAATGTTTAATTCCATGTAATTTGATTCCATATGATAGAAAATTCTAAAAGTATTATTTGAAGAGCACAAACGTACCAAATATTGCTTTTTGAGCAACGAAAAAGTACCAAAAACAGTTCCCTCTTATACATTTTCATTTAGTAAGGACCTTGAATGTTTAATTTCATGTGTTTTGGTTCCATTTTATAGAAAATTCAAAAAGTACCATTAAAATAACGAAAAAGAACCAAAATGTAGCTTTTTGAATAACGAAAAAGTGCCAAAAAAGTTCCCTCATTTACATTCCCTGGGGCATCTGCAGGGTTCATCTTCAAAACTTAAACTCGAATACTCCTTGGCTACGCTCACGCCAAATTTTATCCCGATCGGATCAGCCGTTTAGAAATGCCAGATTTATTTCCAAAAAATTTCCATTCTGCCCCACTGTGCATTCTCATTCAATCAGAACTGTGAATGTTTAATTTCATGTGATTAGATTCCATAGTATAGAATATTCTAAAAGCGCCATTTGAATAAAAAAAGTACCAAAATATTGCTCTCTGAATAATAAAAAAGTACCAAAAACGTTCCCTCTTATCGATCTTCATTCAATCAGGACCGTGAAAGTTTAATTTTGTGTATTTTGGTTCCATTTTATAGAAAAATATAAAAGTACTATTTGTATAAGGAAAGGGTATAAAATGTTGTTTTTTGATAACGAAAAAGTACCAAAAAGTTCCCTCTTACAGATTTTCATTCAATCAAGACTGTGAAAGTTAAATTTTTTGTGTTTTAATTCTATTTTATAGAAACATCTAAAAGTACTATTTGAATAAGGAAAAAGTACCAAAAAGTTCTTTCTTATAGGTTCTCATTCAATAACATTCACATTCACGGTCATGTTTAATTTCATGTGATTTGATTTCATATTAGAGGGAATTCAAAAAGTACCATTATAACCCGGATGGCTTATAATCCGGTTATGTTGGGTAAGTTTATTTGAAATCACTTATTTTTTAACATCGAGGAATAAAAGTTTACTCAAAAAGTAAGTAGCTCCACTTTGCTTATCTTGTAAGTGTAGTTTTTGCTGGGACATGTCAGGAATTTATTAAAATTACTAAAATGTTTTAAAAAGAAATGTTTTTATTAAAAAATTCAATTTTAATTATAAATTTTAAACATTTGAAAACCTTAAACATTTTCCAAAAAACTGTTAGTCAATGCATTTTCCACCATCTCCACCCTTGCCACCTTTGCCGCTACCGCCACCACCACCACCGTTGCAACCACCGCCTCCTTTTCCACCCTTACCACCATCAGAACCGCCACCATTACCGCCATCAGAACCGCCACCTTTACCACCATCATATCCACCTCCTCTACCGCCATCAGAACCACCACCGCCTCTACCACCGTCACCCCCCTTTCCATCTAAGCCCCCCGGTAAACCAGGTTGACCTGGTTGACCATGTTCACGTCCTTCGCGACCTAAAATATGAATGTTTTAATATATATAAATAAATACTCGTCCATCCCATCCAAACAAACCAACGAGACTTACCTAACGTCAAGGTTATTAAAGCCAAAACAAAAATCAGTAAAACGTATAATTTCATTGTGGAAAAGTTAAAACCACTCTAAAGTAAAAACAACATTGTAAACTGGTATTTATACCTAATTAAGTAGATTTCAAAATTATTTTTATTAAAATTATAATATAAAATGTAAATAAATATTTCTATTCTTGGAAAAAAACTCGTATAATGCGCATAAAATCAGCAAATGTTATCATCTCAACAAGGCACATTGGGACCAATCTAAAAAAATAATGGTAATAAATATATACATATTCCGGGAAAATCTCAAAGAAATACCCTACAGATTTATAAAAATGGCTTTGAACGCAGTATTATTAATTAACTCATAGTTCATATCCCGATAATAATAAAAGTATAAAGGCTAATTTTGAATAATATACAAGATCTGATCTTTCATGGTCCGAATGCGTAGAGTATGCAATAGTCGTCTTTGTTCAATCCGCATGCCCAGTCTTTATACAATTAAAGTTCTTAGACACAAATGAGCTCCTTCGTAATTAAAGCTAAACGGAGCAGTATAACAGCTTTATAGTTATAATGTTCCATTTTTGCAACTTTCAATGGCATTGGTGCGTTCCGATTATCGTCCAATCTTTATATTTCCTAAGTAGTTTAGAACAAAATTGAACACCTTTACCGCTCATTTGGTCCGTATTCTCAGAAACTTAAAGTAACTGAATCAACTACATGCTAAAAAACAAATAGATAAGCTGCGAGGTGCACGATATAATATGTATATGTATGTGCCATAGGATGACATTTGTCCATGTATACTTAGCTATATCAGGTGATAAGTTTTAATCTAAGTCCGTATTGGATTATAAGATAGTTCTAACTGAATACTCTCACAGAGGTAAGGATTTAGTTTAAAGATAATGGAAATCAAGGTAGCTTTACATGAAAAGGAGTGAACACAGCTCCGATATTGGCCTAGGTATATTTCCTAACCTAGCAGAACCTAATAGTACCCTCTTACTGTCCCTTATAACATCCCAAGTATCCGCAAAGGGGTTGGTTTAGTGGGAATCTTAGCCATAGATATAGACCGTTTGGTTACTATTAGACAAAGGTATTTATTTCAGTGGCACGCCAGAAAAGAGGTCTTTCGACAAAAACAAACTATAAATCGAACGAAGGTTAATCGATTGAATACCCAAGCATGTAAATAAGTAACACGTTTCGATATCGAATGTCACATCGAAGGAATTAAAGTTTTTTTTTTATAACAATACTTTTATTTATTTATTCTATATAAATGGTGGATACATCCGGAGCTCAATTTACTTGCCACCACCATATATCCGAAGCCAATTTACTTGCCACCACCTCCTCCTCCACCGCCACCACCTCCTCCTCCACCGCCGCCACCTCCTCCTCCGCCACCTAAGGGTTTAGGATTTGGCAAAGGATTACCTTAAAAAAAGTGAAAATATTTTATATCACTTTCACAATTTATACGATTGCCCCACAACTTACCCAAAGCACAAGCTATTAAAGCTAATACCAAAATAAATGAAGCGTAGAATTTCATCTTATTGACAAGGAAAACTAGACAATGATGTTGGATTTAGGGGCTAAACCTATTATTTATATCAAGATTTCAATACGTTTTTGTTTTGAAAATCTAGGCAAATCTTAAAATTACCATTTCTAAGAATTTACATCTACAAAGATAAAAAACGATTAAGTTTGTAAATAAAACCTTGAAAAAATCTGTAATTAATCTAGCTAAAAGAAACTAAGTACAATGGAGGTATATAGAAGCAAAGGTAGCAATCTCCAACTAACTAACTAACTAACTAACTAACTAACTAACTACTAACTAACTAACTAACTAACTAACTAACTAACTACTAACTAACTAACTAACTAACTAACTAACTACTAACTAACTACTACTACTAACTAACTAACTAACTAACTAACTAACTAACTAACTAACTAACTAACTAACTAACTAACTAACTAACTAACTAACTAACTAACTAACTAACTAACTAACTAACTAACTAACTAACTAACTAACACTAACTAACTAACTAACTACTAACTAACTAACTAACTAACTAACTAACTAACTAACTAACTAACTAACTAACTAACTAACTAACTAACTAACTAACTAACTAACTAACTAACTAACTAACTAACTAACTAACTAACTAACTAACTAACTAACTAACTAACTAACTAACTAACTAACTAACTAACTAACTAACTAACTAACTAACTAACTAACTAACTACTAACTAACTAACTAACTAACTAACTAACTAACTAACTACTAACTAACTAACTAACTAACTAACTAACTAACTAACTAACTAACTAACTAACTAACTAACTAACTAAACTAACTAACTACTAACTAACTAACTAACTAACTAACTAACTAACTAACTAACTAACTAACTAACTAACTAACTAACTAACTAACTAACTAACTAACTAACTAACTAACTAACTAACTAACTAACTAACTAACTAACTAACTACTAACTAACTAACTACTAACTAACTAACTAACTAACTACTAACTACTAACTAACTAACTAACTAACTAACTACTAACTAACTAACTAACTAACTAACTAACTAACTAACTAACTAACTAACTAACTAACTAACTAACTAACTAACTAACTAACTAACTAACTAACTAACTAACTAACTAACTAACTAACTAACTAACTAACTAACTAACTAACTAACTAACTAACTAACTAACTAACTAACTAACTAACTAACTAACTAACTAACTAACTAACTAACTAACTAACTAACTAACTAACTAACTAACTAACTAACTAACTAACTAACTAACTAACTAACTAACTAACTAACTAACTAACTAACTAACTAACTAACTAACTAACTAACTACTAACTAACTAACTAACTAACTAACTAACTAACTAACTAACTAACTAACTAACTAACTAACTAACTAACTACTAACTAACTAACTAACTAACTAACTAACTAACTAACTAACTAACTAACTAACTAACTAACTAACTAACTAACTAACTAACTAACTACTAACTAACTAACTAACTAACTAACTAACTAACTAACTAACTAACTAACTAACTAACTAACTACTAACTAACTAACTAACTAACTAACTAACTAACTAACTAACTAACTAACTAACTAACTAACTAACTAACTAACTAACTACTAACTAACTAACTAACTAACTAACTAACTAACTAACTAACTAACTAACTAACTACTAACTAACTAACTAACTACTAACTAACTACTAACTAACTACAACTAACTAACTAACTAACTAACTAACTAACTAACTAACTAACTAACTAACTAACTAACTAACTAACTAACTAACTAACTAACTAACTAACTAACTAACTAACTAACTAACTAACTAACTAACTAACTAACTAACTAACTAACTAACTACTAACTAACTAACTAACTAACTAACTAACTAACTAACTAACTAACTAACTAACTAACTAACTAACTAACTAACTAACTAACTAACTACTAACTAACTAACTAACTAACTAACTAACTAACTAACTAACTAACTAACTAACTACTAACTAACTAATAACTAACTAACTAACTCCTAACTAACTAACTAACTAACTAACACTAACTAACTAACTAACTAACTAACTAACTAACTACTACTAACTAACTACTAACTAACTAACTACTAACTACTAACTAACTAACTAACTAACTAACTAACTAACTCTAACTAACTACTACTAACTAACTAACTAACTACTAACTACTAACTAACTAACTAACTAACTAACTAACTACTAACTAACTACTAACTAACTAACTAACTAACTAACTAACTAACTAACTAACTAACTACTAACTAACTAACTACTAACTAACTAACTAACTAACTAACTAACTACTAACTAACTACTAACTAACTAACTAACGAACTAACTAACTACCTAACTACTAACTAACTAACTAAACTAACTAACTAACTAACTAACTACTAACTAACTAACTAACTAACTTAACTACTAACTAACTAACGACTAACTAACTAACTAACTAACTAACTAACTAACTAACTAACTAACTAAATATCTTTGCAAATATTTTTTTCAATTCTAAAAATACAGAACTGGAGATTGCCGCCTTTCGCTTCTAAACTCCTCAATTGTTTACATTTAAAAAGTAGTAATTTATACGGCATTATGTATTTAATTGATTTAAATGACATTTTCCATCACGTATTACTGTGCTTCTTTACTAAAACTTAGGGGATTTTTTTTTGTAAAGTATTGTGGCATTTTTAATAATTAAAATTCTAGAGTTTTTATTATTGCGATCTTAATAAAATTCGTTTCACACAACTAAGTTTTAAATGAAACAATCACGTGTCGAATATTATATGGCAAAATTTGAATTTCTAGAACATTTACTTTGAAAAAAAAACCTAATCCTATGTCTCATGACGTGTCAAATTAAATACATTGACCAATTAATTGAGTCGAAGAGTCAAGCATATATAAACGCAATGGTCCTGATGGGTAAAAGAGGAGTCCACCTTATTTTTTGCCATTCATCGCTGAGAAAAAAAATACTGCTATTCTGAAGGCATATATTAGGAATATGGACAGAATAATTCAGGGGCAACACTGTCTGACTGTCAAGGAAGTCGCTGAACATATAGTCAAGCCTGCACTTCTGTTGGAGTATTTCAGCCATATATATACTTTAAATAGAACTGGACTTGACAAAACATATATTTCGAGAGCTGTTTAGCGATACTAGTACTGCGGATGAGGAAAACTCGAATGTGCAACTTCTGATTAGGACCAGGGTAATTGTGACTGGCTTATGGAGAAGGGCCAATAATAAATGTTGTGCGCCGCACAGAATTCCAGACATTAAACAGAAGAGGATATTTTTCCGATATTGATAAATCACTTTATGAATTGGAAGCTTTCCATAAGTATGGAAAAAGTTATTGCTTGAAACGATAATGATAACATAGATCTGACCAGAATTCCTGACATTAAATAGAAGAGGATATTTTTCCGATATTGATAAATCACTTTATGAATTGGAAGCTTTCCATAAGTATGGAAAAAGTTATTGCTTGAAACGATAATGATAACTTAGATCTGACCAGAATTCCTGACATTAAATAGAAGAGGATATTTTTCCGATATTGATAAATCACTGTATGAATTGGAAGCTTTCCATAAGTATGGAAAAAGTTATGGCTTGAAACGATAATGAATCTTAGATCTAGAGTTAGAGTGGGAATTATCGAATAATATCATCTCTCTCGTTATTTTGGGAAGCAGAGGTTTATTCAGGATAAAATTAATGACAGGATATCGGATGGGGAGTGATATCCTGGCTATCATTTAATACGGTTTTAAGGTTGGGTCTTGACAGAAATGGAATTCAGAAGGAACTTCTGTAGAAAGATATGTGATTTCCTTACAGATCAGTATATAGTCACGTGGGCAATGTATAGGAAGATAGATCTTTTACTCTATCGCCAATTATTTGAACCTCTCATATCCTACGCCTTCCCAGTCTGGTTCACCTTAGGGAAAGAAGGATACTGCTCGCTTACTTATGTCTAAGGCGTAGGCTTGGATCCAACGACATCTACCGTAATGCAGGTCAATTTATAAGGCTATAGACTGTCAAAGAACTAGCGCAACAATCTGATTGAAGAGTGTTCCCTAAGACCATATGATATCTTTAACTGTTGTTCGATAACAGGAGGATTAATACGTCGCCCAATGAGGCATAAATCAGTATTTTGTAAATATAATGTTAAATAATATAAAATCTTTTTTTAAATAACAATAATTTTTATTTTAATTATTTTACAATAATTAACACCTAAATTAATGAATTAAAAAAATATATATTCCTGCATGTGGTGGAATACGCCATTTATCTTCCACCACCACCGCCTCCTCCGCCGCCACCACCTCCATAATCACCGCCTCCACCGCCACCTCCTCCTCCACCACCTGGCTGTGGCTCGGGATTAGGATTGCCTTTTTAAAAACACAAATATTTACAAAAGAAAAAAATTAACAATTTATTTTTCTACTTACCCATAGCACTTGCTAACAAAGCCAATACCAAAAATATAAAGAAAGCGTAGAATTTCATCTTATTGAAAGCGATGATGAGACAATGATGTGGGTTTGAAGTGTTGAGACTATTATTTATATCAAGATTTTAAATGCGTTTTTGCTTCAAAAATCAAAAACGTGAAATTAGTATTTTTAAGAATTTTTATTAATAAAAAAAACAAACACGAGCAATATAAAATTTATGATTTTTCAACGGATTCCTAATATCTTATGTTATTTTTTAACATTTAAAAAGCAGTAATTAATAAAATTATTTCTAAGAAAACATTGTGTGTTTAATTAATTTAAATTATATTTTTCATTAAGTACTAATGTGTGTCTGTATTAAATGTTAGTTGCATTTTCGATTATAAAGAAATGTCATAAATTTAAAGTATATTTTAGAACAATTATGGACCTATCATCATGAAATTTCTTTAAGAGATTTTAACTATAAGACCTCCGTATAATAGACTGGAATACTAGGATTTTTGCTCATATTTCCGTTTTGCAGATGATGAATCTTCTCGAAACCATTTCTGACAGATTTATTGAAAATTTGAATGCCAAAGATGTTGGGGCATTTCCTGAAATTTGCCATTCAATTTAAAAAATTTGGAATTGGAGTTCATGCCACCTCCCATATAGATAGAATCCTCAAATTTTGCACGAAAAACATTGACATACATCTGAACATTTGGAAAAAATGGAAGAATTTTCAATAGGTTAATTGGGCTATTATGTTTTTGGGGAGGCTATTATGTTTTTGTGCTGATGTTTGCAACACACAAAAATATTGCTCCAACCCCCACCATAATGTAATCGGCTCAGAATTACTTTCTGATTCAAGATAATATGATTAAATGTGGCACATATTCTTCTTATGACCCAAGGACGAAGCCTATTGAAAATGGTTAATGTTTCATTATTTCTCCTAGCTCCCATACAACCGTAACCCTTGAATAAAGAACAGAAATTTACTCTTTGAGGCAAAGTTGTAGCTCTTAAAGAACCGAAATTGTAATCATAAAAAATCCGAAAAAAACTTCATCTTCAAGATCAAAATCGCAAAAAAAACTTAAAAATAATCGATTTTTTACGTGTTAAAAATATTTCAAGTGCTTCTATAAATTAGGCGTATACTTAATATTTGAAATCATTAACACGTATACGTAAATGTTAATAAAAGCAAAGTAAAACATTCCACTTAAAATCAAATGTATGTATGTATGTATGTATGTATGTATGTATGTGTATGTATGTATGTATGTATGTATGTATGTATGTATGTTTATGTATGTATGTATGTATGTATTGTATGTATGTATGTATGTATGTATGTATGTATGTATGTATGTATGTATGTCTGTATGTATGTATGTATGTGTATGTATGTATGTCTGTATTTGTATTTCTGTCTGTATGTATGTAGTATGTATGTATGTATGTCTGTATGTATGTATGTATGTATGTATTATGTATGTATGTCTGTATGTCTGTATGTATGGTATGTATGTCTGTCTGGCTGTATTGTATGTATGTATGTATGTCTATAGTCCTGTGATGTATGTATGTCCGGTTGTATGTATGTCTGTCTGTATGTATGTATTCTGTATGTAGTATGTGTATGTACTGATGTATGTATGTCTGTCTGTCTGTATGTATGTATGTATGTCTGTCTGGGTCTGTACTTTATGTATGTATGTTATGTATGTATGTAGTATGTATGTATGTATGCATTGCTGCATTTAAATTTAAACACATATATGATCTAATTTTAATATATAAAACTAAAATATAGTTTCTGCGCAAATTTTCTACCAATATGAAACGGTACAATCGATTACCATGTCATAATTTCGCCAGGAAAGAAGGGATTTCCATCCAAAAATGACGTTTGTAAAATTTGAATATAATCGAATTCGACCAAACTGCACACAAGTCATAAGTAATATTTAAATGTTAAACGAACTTATTTTAATCTTTTGATTTGTAATTTATTATGGCGCAGCAGATCTAATTTTAATTTAATTTTGCCCAAATTAAGTAATTGTGGTGAATTACTTCAAGTAACAGGTGTTGTTATTTGTTTTTTATAACAAATATGATATTAAAAACGTAATAAAATAAAAATTTATTATATCAGTTCCTATGAAATTCTTATTATTTATAACACAATTACCTGTCATTTGAATTTGAAAAGTATTTCTGACAAACATGTGCCCGTGGCAGCAGCTTTTTCACTGCCCCTTCGCAAAAAAATAATATCTTACGATCTCAAAGACAAATTTTGAAAAGAACACAGTAGGTTTATCAATGCGTTAAAAATTTTCATAATACATTTTTTCGACGCTATAATGTAGAACCTTTTATATGTAGTCTATAGGCTAGACTATAGACTAGACTATAAAATATACTATAGACTAGACTATAGACTAGACTTTAGACTAGACTATAGACTAGATTATAGACTAGACTATAAACTTGACTACAGACTTGACCATATACTAGACCATAGTCTAGACTATAGACCAGAATATAGACTAGACTACAGACTAGACAATAGACTAGACTATAGACTATACTATAGACTAGACTATAGACTAGACTATAGACTAGACTATAGACTAGACTATAGACTAGACTATAGACTAGACTATAGACTAGACTATAGACTAGACTATAGACTAGACTAGACTATAGACTAGACAATAGACTAGAGTATATACTAGACTATAGACTAGACTATAGACTAGACTATAGACTAGACTATTGACTAGACTATAGACTAGACTATAGACTAGACTATAGACTAGACATAGACTAGACTATAGACTAGACTATAGACTAGACTATAGACTAGACTATAGACTAGACTATAGACTAGACTATAGACTAGACTATAGACTAGACTATAGACTAGACTATAGACTACACTATAGACTAGACTATAGACTAGACTATAGACTAGACTAGACTAGACTATAGACTACACTATAGACTACACTATAGACTACACTATAGACTACACTATAGACTACGCTATAGACTACACTATAGATTAGACTAAAGACTAGACTATAGACTAGACTATAGACTAGACTATAGACTAGACTATAGACTAGACTATAGACTAGACTATAGACTAGACTATAGACTAGACTATAGACTAGACTATAGACTAGACTATAGACTAGACTATATACTAGACTAGACTATAGACTAGACTATAGACCTAGACTATAGACTAGACTAGACTATAGACTAGACTATAATCTAGACTATAGACTAGACTATAGACTAGACTATAGACTAGACTATAGACTAGACTATAGACCAGACTATAGACTATAGACTAGACTATAGACTATAGACTAGACTATAGACTAGACTATAGACTAGACTATAGACTAGACTAGACTATAGACTAGACTATAGACTAGACTATAGACTGGACTATAGACTAGACTATAGACTAGACTATAAACTAGACTAGACTATAGACTAGACTACAGACTAGACTATAAACTAGACTAGACTATAGACTAGACTATAGACTAGACTATAGACTAGACTATAGACTAGACTATAGACTAGACTATAGACTAGACTATAGACTAGACTATAGACTAGACTATAGACTAGACTATAGACTAGACTATAGACTAGACTATAGACAAGACTATACTAGACTATAGACTAGACTATAGACTAGACTATAGACTAGACTATAGACTAGACTATAGACTAGACTATAGACTAGACTATAGACTAGACTATAGACTAGACTATAGACTAGACTATAGACTAGACTATAGACTAGACTATAGACTAGACTATAGACTAGACTATAGACTAGACTATAGACTAGACTATAGACTAGACTATAGACTAGACTATAGACTAGACTATAGACTAGACTATAGACTAGACTATAGACTAGACTATAGACTAGACTATAGACTAGACTATAGACTAGACTATAGACTAGACTATAGACTAGACTATAGACTAGACTATACTAGACTATAGACTAGACTATAGACTAGACTATAGACTAGACTATAGACTAGACTATAGACTAGACTATAGACTAGACTATAGACTAGACTATAGACTAGACTATAGACTAGACTATAGACTAGACTATAGACTAGACTATATACTAGACTATAGACTAGACTTAGACTATACTGACTAGACTATAGACTAGACTATAGACTAGACTATACTAGACTATAGACTAGACTATAGACTAGACTATAGACTAGACTATAGACTAGACTATAGACTAGACTATAGACTAGACTATAGACTAGACTATAGACTAGACTATAGACTAGACTATAGACTAGACTATAGACTAGACTATAGACTAGACTATAGACTAGACTATAGACTAGACTATAGACTAGACTATAGACTAGACTATAGACTAGACTATAGACTAGACTATAGACTAGACTATAGACTAGACTATAGACTAGACTATAGACTAGACTATAGACTAGACTATAGACTAGACTATAGACTAGACTATAGACTAGACTATAGACTAGACTATAGACTAGACTATAGACTAGACTATAGACTAGACTATAGACTAGACTATAGACTAGACTATAGACTAGACTATAGACTAGACTATAGACTAGACTATAGACTAGACTATAGACTAGACTATAGACTAGACTATAGACTAGACTATAGACTAGACTATGACTAGACTATGCTACACTATAGACTAGACTATAGACTAGACTATAGACTAGACTATAGACTAGACTATAGACTAGACTATATACTAACATAGACTAGACGATAGACTAGACTATAGACTAGACTATAGACTAGACTAGACTAGTCTATAGACTAGACTATAGACTAGACTATAGACTAGACTATAGACTAGACTATAGACTAGACTATAGACTAGACTATAGACTAGACTATAGACTAGACTATAGACTAGACTATAGACTAGACTATACTATAGACTAGACTATAGACTGACTAGACTATAGACTAGACTATACTAAGACTAGACTATAGACTAGACTATAGACCAGACTATAGACTAGACTATATACTAGACTATATACTAGACTATAATGTACATTGTACAACCTTTTATATATCTTATGTCTAGTCTATAGACTAACTATAGACTAGGCTATAGACTAGACTATAGACTAGACTATAGACTAGACTATAGACTAGACTATAGACTAGGCTATAGACTAGACTATAGACTAGACTATAGACTAGACTATAGACTAGACTATATACTAGACTATAGACTAGACTATAGACTAGACTATAGACTAGACTATAGACTAGACTATAGACTAGACTATAGACTAGACTATAGACTAGGCTATAGACTAGACTATAGACTAGACTATAGACTAGACTATAGACTAGACTATATACTAGACTATAGACTAGACTATAGACTAGACTATAGACTAGACTATAGACTAGACTATAGACTAGACTATAGACTAGACTATAGACTAGACTATAGACTAGACTATAGACTAGACTAGACTAGACTATAGACTAGACTATAGACTAGACTATAGACCAGACTATAGACTAGACTATAGACTAGACTATAGACTAGACTATAGACTAGACTATAGACTAGACTATAGACTAGACTATAGACTAGACTATAGACTAGACTATAGACTAGACTATAGACTAGACTATAGACTAGACTATAGACTAGACTATAGACTAGACTATAGACTAGACTATAGACTAGACTATAGACTAGACTATAGACTAGACTATGACTAGACTATAGACGAGACTATAGACTAGACTATAGACTAGACTATAGACTAGACTATAGACTAGACTATAGACTAGACTATAGACTAGACTATAGACTAGACTATAGACTAGACCATAGACTAGACTATAGACTAGACTATAGACTAGACTATAGATTAGACTATAGACTAGACTATAGACTAGACTATAGACTAGACTATAGACTAGACTATAGACTAGACTATAGACTAGACTATAGACTAGACTATAGACTAGACTAGACTAGACTAGAGACTAGACTATAGACTAGACTATAGACTAGACTATAGACTAGACTATAGACTAGACTATAGACTAGACTATAGACTAGACTATAGACTAGACTATAGACTAGACTATAGACTAGACTAGACTAGACTATAGACTAGACTATAGACTAGATTATAGACTAGATTATAGACTAGACTATAGACTATACTATAGACAAGACTATAGACTAGACTATAGACTAGACTATAGACAAGACTATAGACTAGACTATAGACTAGACTATAGACTAGACTATAGACTAGACTATAGACTAGACTATAGACTAGACTATAGACTAGACTATAGACTAGACATATAGACTAGACTATAGACTAGACTATAGACTAGACTATAGACTAGACTATAGACTAGACTATAGACTAGACTATAAACTAGACTATAAACTAGACTATAGACTAGACTATAGACTAGACTATAGACTAGACTATAGACTAGACTATAGACTAGACTATAGACTAGACTAAGACTAGACTATGGACTAGACTATAGACTAGACTATAGACTAGACTATAGGGCTAGACTATAGACTAGACTATAGACTAGACTATAGACTAGACTATAGACTAGACTATAGAATAGACTATAGACTAGACTATAGACTAGACTATAGACTAGACTATAGACTAGACTATGGACTAGACTATAGACTAGACTATAGACTAGACTATAGGCTAGACTATAGACTAGACTATAGACTAGACTATAGACTAGACTATAGAATAGACTATAGACTAGACTATAGACTAGACTATAGACAAGACTATAGACTAGACTATAGAGTAGACTAGACTATAGACTAGACTATAGACTTTTTGTAGAATAAATACCTTAAAATATCGCACATTTTTCGGAAATATTGAAAGTACTCCAGATTTCCCGCTATCCGTTCTCAAAATTTAAGATAATTAGAAAAGTACAAACGCAGAGATAAACTAACATACATATATGAAGTTCGAGTACATAGTTTCAAGATTTGGTCTTTAAGAGATTATTTTTAGAAGTGTAATTGAAGCTTATATAAAATGCTGCTGGGTTGGGGATTTGTATGTCAGAAAACTTTTTTTATTTAAATGACAGCCCATGTGTTGATTATAAAGACAATTTCATAGGAACTGATATAATTAATTTGCGTTTTACTACGTTTTAGTATCATATTGATGAAAAAAACATTTTAAATAATTCCCCCGCAATCGCTTAATTTTGCCAAAATTATTTTGAAATCTACTGCGCCATTAAAACTTATTACTTTTTCCTTGGCAATCTTAAGAAAAAAATATATTATTGTTAATTTACTCGTTTAGCTCTTATTTCGACATGAATTTGGGCGAATCAATCAATCAAACAGACATCAATTGATATCCCAATTCTAACAGCATTTTGATTGAAACCCTTTTCGATCAAAAAGTATGAGGAATAAGTTTCTGTAATAACTGAATTTTATTTTATTAACCATGGATGAAATGTTAAATGGAAATTTTAAATATATCATTCTGAATGGTGTATAAGATTCTCCACTTGCCGTTTATATTACGCTTATTTGTTTAACATACATTTTATACCAAAGTGTTGTATACCTTAAGGCAATTAAGAAAAAAATCATTGGGTACATGGTACTCCGATACTTTTACTTTGATGTTTCTGAATATATCAATCCCATTCGATGTGTCTCCAGTGGTACAAATGTAACAAAAAGTTGTAAAATTTTAAACATTTTGTACTTTAGATAATTTTGGATAGAAACTAAAATGGATCGAAAAATAAAACAACCAACAAAGCATATTAATGTTAGGCGTTATGTAGAAGAACAATAAGAATGGTGTCTTAGATCAACTACACAGGAAGTTCAGGGAGCATATTGCTTGGGTGTAGCATAGCCATGAGCACACAGAGGGGCGAAATAGTTTTTATTTAATAAATCGGACATTTTTAACGGCAATATCATTCATGGATGCAAAAATAAACGATTTTTAATATCATATATATAAAAAATTTTATGTTTTTCTGAAAGGTATCTTTACGGAAAACATTTTCATAGAAAATACATGACCTATTTTTTCAATATGTTTATTTAATAAATCGGGCATTTTTAACGGCAATATCATTTATGAATGCAAAAATAAACGATTTTTAAGATCATATATATAAAAAATTTTATGTTTTTCTGAAAGCTATCTTTACGGAAAACATTTTGATAGAAAATACATGACCTATTTTTTTCAATATGTCGCCCTTACGGGCAAATAACAAATTCTTTATTAGGAATATAACGTCTAATCGAGATTACTAACTACATCATTTTATTAACGACCATATCCACCATCACCTCCTCTACCACCAAAACCACCAGGTTGACCAGGTTGTCCTGGTTGGCCTGCCTGACCTCCATAACCACCGCTTCCTCCATAGCCGCCACTGCCACCGTAACCACCACTGCCTCCAAAACCGCTGCCTCCACTACCGCCAGGTTGACCGGGTTGTCCAGGTTGACCGCCAAATCCACCGGCACCACCTTGACCACCATAGCTACCACCTTGACCACCATAGCCACCACCTTGACCACCATAGCCACCACCTTGACCACCATATCCACCACCTTGACCACCAAAGCCACCACCTTGTCCCCCATAACCACCGCCAGGTCTTCCACCACCTCCACCTAAGGGTCCACCACCGCCTCCTCCACCTCCATAAGCACCGGGTCTACCAGCCTGTGAGGTCACTAAAAAAAAATAGTATAATTAAATATATCATATTTTTATTGTTTATTTGCAATTAAAAACTCGTACCTTCACTAAATATCACCACAAAAGTGGTTAAAAAACATGCAATTGTAATTTTCATTTTTCCTTAAAATTTACCGAATAACGACTGCGTTCATCAACAGGTTTTAGTTTACTGATTAATTACAATTTAACAGATGATTGAATTTAATTTTCAGTCCAGTACTGCAAAATGAGTGACACCTGTCTGGGGTTTTTATATTTTTGTGTTTTTGAAAAATTGTTTGTTATTATTTCTTTGAATTTTGAAATTGTTTAAAGTATATGAATCTAGAGTACCCGGGATGTTTCGCTACCTTAAATGAATTAAAATAAAAAAAGAAAATTCCAAAAGTATCGTTTGAAAAGCGATCTACATATCCATCTATCTATATTATCTATCGATCTATCTATCTATCTATCTATCTATCTATCTATCTATCTATCTATCTATCTATCTATCTATCTATCTATCTATCTATCTATCTATCTATCTATCTATCTATCTATCTATCTATCTATCTATCTATCTATCTATCTACTATCTATCTATCTATCTATCTATCTATCTATCTATCTATCTATCTATCTATCTATCTATCTATCTATCTATCTATCTATCTATCTATCTATCTATCTATCTATCTATCTATCTATCTATCTATCTATCTATCTATCTATCTATCTATCTATCTATCTATCTATCTATCTCTAATCTATCTATCTATCTATCTATCTATCTATCTATCTATCTATCTATCTATCTATCTATCTATCTATCTATCTATCTATCTATCTATCTATCTATCTATCTATCTATCTATCTATCTATCTATCTATCTATCTATCTATCTATCTATCTATCTATCTATCTATCTATCTATCTATCTATCTATCTATCTATCTATCTATCTATTCTATCTATCTATCTATCTATTCTATCTATCTATCTATCTATCTATCTATCTATCTATCTATCTATCTATCTATCTATCTATCTATCTATCTATCTATCTATCTATCTATCTATTATCTATCTATCTATCTATCTATCTATCTATCTATCTATCTATCTATCTATCTATCTATCTATCTAGTTATCTATATATCTATCTAACTAAGCATTTGTTATCAGAGCCAAGTGAAAAAAAGGAATGATTTTACCCATTTTTAAATTTAAATAGGCTTCGTCCTATGGTCCAAATTGCATCAGAATTTCGGCCTGTACCTTGCGCACAAGTTTTACACGGATAGCCAATCGGCAAAGTTATTCTTAGTAGATCAGTATAATTTAAAATGGGTATTGAACCAATATTTTTGTGCGCTACAAACATCAGTATTCGTACTACCCTCCCCACTATGGTTTAATAACTCCATCAAACTCACAATTCTAGTTTTAGCGATAATGAATCGGTCAGTAACGCAACTCTTTTACATACATATTATATACAGATAGAATATATTTTGAATATGGCTAATGTTATACTTGTAATTAAAAATGTATACAATTTAATTATTATTTAAATACAACAAAAAGTTATTATTTGAAAATAAATGTAAATCTTATCATTGAACACAATGCGAATACGAATGGAGTATAAATATGAAAAAACAATTAGTAATTAATATATTTTTAAAGTGTATTCAATTCGAAATAATGTGTTGAGAACAATTGCTGAAAGTATATAAATCTATATCTATTCTATTGAGTGCTTACACTTAAAATTTTTTTAAATTTGCTTTATTATAATGTTATAGTTGATCTTAAAAGTCTACACAAAGACAAACTTAGCAAAAATTTTTTGACCGTTGGGTAACAAAATGTCAAAGAACTAAATGGTACAGAATGTACCGTTTATGATTTCAAAAACAGTAGAGATTGCTGTTTTTGATTATAAACCGCTTAGTTCTCAATTGATATGGTGATAATCTGTCTCTTTAAAGGAAATATATTCCTCTAATCGAACCTTATGTAAGATGAGAGGGGTTAGTTTTATCTCTGTGCGAATTATCTAGGGGGATTATAGGTCGCACCATCATTATATACTGGACATAAGTGAAACGAAAGAATGATAAGAGTCTCCTTAGTGGAAGCAAGTCCGATAAATCAAAGTTATGACCTTGACTTTTATTCAAATTATATATCAATGAATTAGTACTTTCCCAGCAAAAACTTTGTAATGACTGACATATATTTGTATATATAAGAATTTATAGAATTGTCAACCCATTAGTTAACGTCAATTAAATAACTAAGCAGTTGTGGACCAACATACACGATTTTCCTCCTTGGGATGATAGTCATATCATATTCAACTCCCTATTCGTAAGCGAGCTTGGTAAGTACTACATAGCTTCCAATGGCATTGACATGTTAAAATAATGAATTAAAATGTATATGTACTTAAGTAGTAAAAGGTTGTAAGTTATAATAGCTTATTAACTCATTACTTTTTAATGCATCTATATTTTGTTGGGTTATTAATTAATAGTTTGCTGTTAATTATAACATGTGAATGTTAAATATTTTAGGTATATATACACTTAATTTAAACCTTGTAATTAAAACAATAGCTAAAGTCTCCAAGAAGAAAACAAAGAAATAAATAATTAGTCTAAAGACACATATTTTGCGTTACATTTTAATCATAAAAGTGAAAACATTATGATGAGTAACTAAAATGAAAACAAAGTTGTTACTAATTTTAGTTAATGAAATGATTCATAGTTGGATGTACTCTAAATGTATGCAAATTAGATTAGTCGAAATACATATGCATGAGAATTAATATACTAAATACGAGAAAAATAAAAACTTTTGAAAACGGCCTCACTTCCCTTGAAAATATTGATCGCAGTTCTGGGTTTCTCTTACCCATATTTTTGTATGCCCTTGTTGCGTTAAATAGTTTTGTTTTCGTCTGGTTAACTAGTTCCCGACTACTCCCGAGAGGAATGGTAGCGGTTAGTGCTTTCTTATAAGCCAATAAGGTCTTAGATATAACTGTATCATCTGATAACACCCTAATAGCCTTCGGGCTGTTGGTATATATGTTAAGACCTGTGGGCTCCATATTTATTCTAACCCAATTTACGTATTCCGTTATTGCTTAGACTTCTGCCTGAAAGCCAGAGTTGTGATTAGGTATATTTCTGTTTTAGGATATTCAATATTTAGAGCCATCATAAGGGTATTTACTATAATGTTCCGCTTGACAAAGACCTTCTATTTGGGATCAGTTTTCTAAAGTTTCCGACATATTCTGCATATTGTATATAATCGGGCGCGAAAGCCAAGTGCTTTGCCGTGTTGGCCAATTTCACGGTGATCTTTTTTAACCGCTGGGTGAGCTTTTGCAACTACTCACCATCGCCCCATTGTGTTTCTTACACACAGGTGCTTCCGGTCTAGTATACGTGCACTTTGCTCGAGCTATCTATTCACTTGCCATAGTAGACCCGTTGGGGAATGACCGGTGTCATGAATCAAGCTCAACCTAACCCCGACAAACGAAACAACATCAGGTGAAAACACCGTAAAGTCGCATAACCACACTACTGAGATGGCTTCTGTTGACTCGGCAACAGCATCTAGGGGACAAATTGGTAATCCGAAACATAAATTCCAGACTTATTTCAATGGCCACAAGGACCTATTGCAATAAGTTGAGCATGTTTAGAGTAAACTCCAACACACTCAACCATGAAGGAAAATAGCCGGCAAATTAAAGATTAAGGTATTACAGCTCCACAACGTCTCAAACAATTTCACCAACATTTCAACCGTCACTCCTTCTTTCATTCCGACATCTCCACAGATACAACTCATGATACCTCTCGTCCATCAGATACAGGTATCCGAATGGTACATCTCACTCCATTACATTATCAGATCAATTCCAACATTTGTTAAGCCACAGTCTTGCCCTGTTTGCTCCTAGTTTCTAGGAGCGGTAACAGAAACATATCCCGAAAATTTATATTCCACCGTATATCAATCTTTTAACCAAGCACTCCCTTCCCGCGAATTTGCGTTTAAACCACAGCCACTACATGGATCCCGAAGGAACCTCAACCAACTGACCAGCCAGGACAAGTCCAACTGACCACCCGTAGTACTGGATTATGTGGTGTTCTGGTTAGACCCCATGTCAAATCATCCAAGGACTAGCCAGGGAGCGAAATTTCAACACAAGTTTATAGTCAAGGCAGACTAAAGGTACTGGTAGCACCTCTTTACCCCGGGATTGCAATACATCAAGATGAGGGTCTTTCATCAAGGAAACCTGCCCCGGGGGAGACTATGGGGCAAATTCAATGATTGTGTATGTGTCCAGTATAAATTAATGACGTGTGCCTAAAATTATGAGACATTCGGCTATAAGTGCCGTCTCATATCTTATATAAGTTTCAATGGGTGGAAAATCTAGCAACGTTTCCAAAGCCTTGGTTGTCGTAGTACTCATGGCACCAGTTATACCCAAGCAGTATGTACCCTTAACTCCCTGTAATAGTTTGATATTACACTTTTAACTAAAAAAAATCATAAGCTAGAATTAGTCTAATTATACTATTATAAAGCCCACGTGTCTTAGTTGGACTAAGGCCCCTTTTTATGCCTAAGATTCTCCTATATATAAGTGGTGTCTTCATTTTAATTTCCGGTCAAGGATTACACCAAATAAATTATTTTTTTGTCTTATATATGTCTTCTAAAATGACTTAAAGACTTGGCCAACTGGGATCGAAATTTCACGCATATAAGAAAATAATTGAGATTTCATTGTATATTTTAAGGTGCCGAGACTGAAATTTATATGAAATATTTAAGAAAAAAGTAAAAATAATAGGACAGATAGAATGTCCAGATCATTTCAGTTATATGCTAAAAGAAAATCAATATCTATACTTCTTATTCTTATTGTACCCTTACTACAGAAAACGCGATTAAGTGAAAACATTCGGAGCCATAATATACACCAAATTCTTTATTTAATACCTTCAAAGCTCTTCCTGATTAATATTAAAAACTTGACCCTAACATTGTATTGTTAATTCATTTTTCGTTTTAAGTATGATACACCCCCATAGTGGGGAAAGTACATAAGTAATACGTTCATACATATGTTTGTAACATTAAAAAATAATAACAGCTACACATACCTCTGAGTATTTCTGATTCGATTTGCCAATCTTCAATCTTTGATATAACGATTCGATATAGTTAATTTTGATCAATTACTGGAAAATTACAAATTATTAAGTTAAATAAAATTTTCACGCTATATAATTTTTAATTCCAAATTTGTATTTGTTTAGATTTTTATTGAACGATTCTCTTACAAAATGTATAAACCTTTGATTAAATAAATATGCATTATGAATAAGGTCTTGAATAAATAAAAGTACTATATAGTTATGTATGTAACTCTTAGTGCATTCTAAAATTTGCAAGCCCAATTAAAAACAAGTAAGAATGTGTAATAGAACATAACCGACCATATGATACCCTACAACAGTTGTTGGGTTTTTATTCGTTTTTATAGACATCATATGTATGTGGGTAAGGCGAAAAAAATTACCGATTTCAATAAGATCACAAAGACTTACGTACCAAGTTTATTCAAATTATCTTCATAATCCACTCAAAAAGTGATTCTGAGACTATACCCTACACCCATATAGAGGTGTATTTCTTCTGTAGACTATAAAGTTCAGTCCACAACATAGCTAAATCAACATAAAGATCATTCTTTAAAGCTAAACCCACTATCAAAACATGTGTAGAGTCAAATGATTCTTCCGGGTTATTTGACTAGCGGGTTTACCATAATACCAGTGAGATAATTAGTCTTGCACACAACACAGAAAAGTGACTATAGGAACTACGAAATACTTATATTTGGTATGAGTTGGAATGACAAGAATGGAATGCAGATTGGGGAAGGATTATATGAGCTTTGCTATCGACCCTCACACATATGAATGTGTCTCATAAATATTCTCATTACTGCGTCGGAAGATCTGTGTGATGGAATGGTGATAGATATGGTTCTCAAATCGACTTTTTTGTCCTAAAAAAGTCAGTAAATAAATATGTATATGGAATTTCTGGTCCAGTAAACGTGGACTTTGCTCAAGTACTTGAGCTATCTAATCTCTGACCATTGCTGCCCCGTTGCTTAACTTCCGAGATGCAAAAACATCACTTCCGTTACCAACCACGCAGATGGGATGGCCTCTGTTGAGTCGGCAACAGCACTTAGAGACGTAACCGGTAGACCGAAGTACGAATCTATCATATAAGCCGAGACTTTGTTCTTACTCACAGAGGACACATTGTGGTAAATCTGGTAAGAAAAGAGTTTGCTCTGAACATACCTGGACTAGGAAGGAAAATTCAATGGTATCACTTGTATAAGATACTTTTCATCCATCACCATTCCATCCTGCACACTTACCATTCAACCGACACACTTGTAAGAGAACAACATACAACAGACTCACTCTAGGCATACGGGCGGATGAGATCCGTATTCCCCTACATACATCCTGTATCATATTTATTTAACACCAACTCATTTCCAACGCTTAGTCACACTGTCGCTCCTCTGTGGGGTGTCTGTTGTCATTCGGCAACAGCACCGAACTTATCCCGAAATATAGATTTCACCACGCTTTAGTCTTTTAACAGACACCACGTGGATCCTGACCAGCCGGGACAAGTCCTGCGGACAACTGACCACCCGTAGTACCTGATTATGTGGTTTTCTGGTTCGATTGCATGTCAAATCATTCCAAGGAAAGTCCGAGGAGTGAATTGTCATCACATGTTTATAGTAACGGCTGAGTAGAGGTACTGCTGGCGCCTCTTAATCCCGGGATTGCAATACACCTACCTATATGAGGGTCTTTCATCAAGGAAAAATGCCCCGGGGGAATTGAACGTACAGTATTCCTCCTTGTATCGACATTTGCTCTGTTCATAACTGATGTGTTGCAGGGCTGTAGAAGGAAGTGATATTTTCGAAAATTGGCGGCATAAGGTCATCAAGTTAGCCTACCACTTAAAGTAACAGGGACTACTTTAATAGGGTTGGTTTAAATCCTTTAAATTCAATTCCAAACAAATATAATTCTAAGAGAATATTTGTGGAAATGTACAGATATCTGACAGATGAGTATGGCTATATCGCCCTAGAATTTATAAAGACCCAAACATGCATATGTTATGTGTATTAGACCATTATAAGTAATGCCTATCACCCTTATTAGGAATCTCTTCGGATGCGTAGGTTATAGGGTATCTCATGGTCACCCATATCCATCTACTTTCTAACGTGTTTTAAATAAAATGAGCACTAATATATTTATTGCGTCTCTCTATATATATATATACCATTCTCTCTCTCTTGTTTATTTGTTTGTTTATATTTTGGAAATTTTAGGAAGAATCTAAATGAAATGAGTCAAGTTTATAAATTTATTGTATTTATAAAAACATCGCATTAGTTGTTTAACAACCTCACAAAAGCCAAGATGAAATCAGTTCAATTTGTTTTAGCCGGTGTTCTAATAGTATTGAGTCACGTTCTAATGAGTGCAGGTAAGTCGCAATTAAAATTCGTAAAGTGTTAGTATATAAACTAAAATATTGCAAATGAATATTATATGCATTAAGTAATTTGGAAATTTTCATTTATATTATAGCACAAGGTCAAGGTGGTTATGGTGGCAGTGCTGGAACCTGGTCCAGTTCTAGCAGCCAATCTGGACAGCCGGGAACTCCAGGCAACAGTCAATTTAGTTACGGTTATGGTGGTGTAGACGCTAATGGTATGCCCTATGGTGGATCTAGCGGTAATGGTGGCTATCATGTTAATATAACCGATGAACAGGGTCGCCAACATTCGTACAGTGGTGGCCAAGGTGGTTTTGGAGGACAGCCTGGTCAGCATGGCCAGCCAGGACAACCTGGTTCTATGGGCACATATAGTTATTCTAGCTCCAATACAAATCGTGGCGGTTATCAGAACTCTTCTTCCTCATCTGCCTACGCCTCAGCTTGGAGTACTTTTTATGTTATTTGTTTGTTTTCATTGTTTTTAATTATTAAATCTTAGGCATTTGAATTTCGCAATGAAGTGTCAATTAAAACATTATATTGCTCAGTGTATTATAAATAAGTACTCGTTTTTATGACTTTTATGTGTCCTTCGAACAAAAGGTGTTTTTTTTTTTTAATAAAAATTAAAAAATTTATATGTAATAAGAAAAGTTAGAAAGTGTTTATAAAAAGTGTTAATTAAAATGTTAATTAATTTTTGGTTTCTTTGTTATGCAAAAAATTAGGCTCTAACTCTAAAACGGGTTAATTTTGTTTGATTATAAATTCACATGCGTAAAGAAGAGTTTAAATTTTGAATTTGAACTTCAGGGACCAGGGGCGCAGTCAAGGGATCCACTAAGTAGGACACCTCGGGTATGTTAAAATTTCAAACGATGCTATTTCTTCGTTTGTGGTCCGATCTCAAGAAAATTTCTCCTCGTTCCATCATTATAAAAACCTTGTCATCATCGTTATCAATTACTTTAATTTAAATGAAGAAAAAAGTGAAAATTTTTTATATGAATCGATGAATTTTACAATCGTATAACAATAATAATATGAACATCAGATTTAATAGAGAAAAGGGATTTTAAGAGGGTTTTAGGTACTAGAGAATTATAAAGAGTAATTACGGCTTTAAAACAAATATTTTTCGTCAAATTTTTTTTAGGTTAGGTCAGGTTAGGTTGATAGGAGAATGTATACTACAACAAAACCGAAGAAATACACTTAGGTCACTACCGGGCCTGTTGTGCGCTCCTTTTCATGAACAAAAAATTCACTGAACGTATTATTTTTTAATGTTTAGAAACTCAGTTTCCTTCTTGCTTTCATTAGGGTTACAAAATAGGATCTTTGTGGTTCTACCCAACGTTTCATTATTCCAAGAGGCCTTATGGGATTCTCTCACCTATATTTTTATACCCTTCACCTTCGTGAGATGGGTATATATAAGTTTGTCATTTCGTTTGTAATTTCTGTAATAATATAATTTTCCGACCCCATAAAGTATATATATTCTGGATCCTTATAGGTAGCGGAGTTGATTAAGCTATGTCCGTCCGTCTGTATGTCTGTCCGTCTGTCTGTCCGCCTGTGTGTCTGTCCGTCTGTGTGTTTGTTGCATTCTGTTTCTTATGTTTGGATGTCTGTTGGTTTCATTGCGTTGTTTTGTTTTTGCTTTTTTTTGGAGTATTTCGTTTTGTATGTTTCATTGACTTGTGTATATTGTTTTTGTTTTTTGGTGTATTCAGTTTCGTATGTTTGGATGTCTGTTGGTTTCATTGCGTTGTCTATTTTGTTTTTGTATTTTTGTGTATTTCGTTTCATATGTTTGGATGTCTGTTGGGTTTACTGCCTTGTGTATTTTGTTTTTTTGTGTGTTTATTTTGTTTAGCGTTGTTGTTGTTCGTTTTGCTATAGCTATAATAATGATATAAACGGGAAAATGAAATAAATTAATATTTTATAGAATTGATATTTTTAAAAACACTGTGGTGAAGGGTATATAAGATTCGGCTCAGCCGAATATAGCACTCTTACTTGTTTTTAATTCAGCTTTTGTTGCGTCGAATGGTTCTTCTGAGGGGCCTGTTACCCATATGAAGCAAACTTTACCTCTGAGGGAATATTCAGTTAAAGCTTTCTTACAATTCAATATAGAACTCCAGTTTCAAAGTTTCCGACATATTCTGTGTCTGGTATGCGATCAGGCACGTCCGATGATTGTGTATAACCTTCCAATGTGTCCAGTATACATTGATGACGTGGCCTATAACCGCGTTTGGCCAATTCGCCTAAAGTAAAGAGCCGTTCGGCTGTAAGCGCCGCCTCATATCTTAAATATGTTTCAATGGGTGGAATATCTAGCAACGTTTCCAGAGCCCTGTTTGAAGGATTTTCTATGGGGATGGGGTCAATTATTGCCCGATCCTCATAATGTTAAGCAGAGAGATTTTCGTTTTTATGTCGAATTTCATTGATATATTGGTGTTATGACATGTATAGATCGTCTTAGAATCTTATAAAAAAAATATACTTTTGTGAGTTTGCTATCAATGTTTTGATCAATCAAATCAATATTCCCCAAAATATGCTATTGTTTTATTTCTAATAATATAAATAACTCTTACAACAGGGTTGGACCATTCTATTAACTAGCCCACATATTAGGCCGCTTGAGTTAAGAGTCCTAACGGAAGCTTCTACTGTAGGATAATATATGGTCGCCCATACCGGTCTACAATAACTAAAGTGTTTAATATAAAATGAGTACTAATAAATGTATTGCATCTCTCTTCATTTTGTTAATTTTTAGCGTATATTTTTGGAAATATTAGGAATAATTTTATACTAAATGAAATGTATTTGTCAACACGATGCATTAGTTCTTTAACTACCTCACAAAAGCCAACATGAAATCAGTTCAATTTATTTTAACGGGTGTTTTAATAGTAGTATTGAGCCAGGTTCTAATGAGTACAGGTAAGTCGCAATAAAATTCGAATGTGTAATATAAAAATATTAATTTAATTTTCTCTTTATAATTTATATTACAGCACAAGGCCAAGGTGGTAATGGTGGCAGTGCCGGACAACCAGGTGCTCCCGGCGGTAATGGTGGTAGTGCCGGACAACCAGGTGCTCCAGGAGGTAATGGTTATGCAGGAGCTAGTGGTAATGGTGGTGGTTATCAATACTCATCTGCCTCATCTGCTTACGTTTCAGCTTGGAGTACTATTTATGTTATTTCTTTGTTTTCATTGTTTTTAATAATTAAAACTTAGGCATTTGATTTGATGATGTGTCAATTTAAATTATTATACTACTGCTCAGTATATTATAAATAAGATTGTATGACTTATTAAAAAAAATAAAAAAAAAACAATAACAATTTGCTTGATTTTATTCCAATTACAGTAAAAAATTTTGTTAAAGTGAACTTTACTACAAAATTTGAAAAAGTTTAGCTCATCCTAAATTGATTTCAGATTATGTAATAACTAAATATGCATTTCAACTAACAACTTATTTAAATGTTTAATACGCACTACTATTAAAATGTTATGTTCATTCGTAGTGAAAAACTGTTACAACTTTCCGTTTATAAATTGAAATGTGTAGTCATAAATAAAATGTGGTATAGTCTAGCATGGCTTAAGGCGCAAAATTTCTTGAAGTAGCCATATCCTCCAGAAATAGTTAAACGCTATGAGTGAGTGATATCATCAGGATTTAAAATGATAGGTCTATTCTGGTAGACCGGAGTTGAAGGGTTAGATTCCCTCCTGAGGGCAGCTAGATGCATAGGTGCACATTGTCCCTTTTCAAACTAACTAACTAACTAACTAACTAACTAACTAACTAACTAACTAACTAACTAACTAACTAACTAACTAACTAACTAACTAACTAACTAACTAACTAACGAACTAACTAACTACTACTAACTAAACGAACGAACGAACGAACGAACGAAAGAACGAACGAACGAACGAACGAAACGAACGAACGAACGAACGAACGAACGAACGAACGAACGAACGAACGAACGAAAAGAACGAAACGAACGAACGAACGAAGAACGAAACGAACGAACGAACGAACGAACGAACGAACGAAAACGAACGAACGAAACGAACGAACGAACGAACGAAACGAAAACGAACGAACGAAAACGAACGAACGAACGAACGAACGAACGAACGAACGAAAGAACGACACGAACGAACGAACGAACGAACGAACGAACGAACGAACGAACGAACGAACGGAAGAGAACGAACGAACGAACGACGAAACGAAGAACGAACGAACGAACGAACGAACGACGAACGAACGAACGAAAGAACGAAACAAAGAACGAAAACGAAAACGAAAGAACGAACGAAAGAACGAACGAAAGAACGAACGAACGAACGAAGAACGAAAAAGAACGAAGAAAAACGAACGAACGAACGAACGAACGAACGGAAACGAACGAAAAACGAACGAAGAAAAAACGAACTAACAAAGAACGAAACGAAAGAAACGAAACGAACGAACGAAGAACGAACGAACGAACGAAGAAAACGAACGAAAAAGAACGAACGAAACGAACGAACTAACGAACGAACGAAACGAACGAAACGAACGAACGAACGAACGAACGAACTAACGAACGAACGAACGAAGAAAAGAACGAAACGAACGAAGAACGAACGAACGAACGAACGAACGAACGAACGAACGAACGAAACGAACGAACGAACGAAACGAACGAACGAAACGAACGAACGAAACGAACGAACGACGAAGAACGAAACGAACGAACGACACGAACGAACGAACGAACGAACGAACGAACGAACGAAAAAACGAACGAACGAACGAACGAACGAACGAAACGAACGAACGAACGAACGAACGAACGAACGAACGAAGAACGAAACGAACGAACGAACGAACGAACGAACGAACGAACGAAACGAACGAACGAACGAACGAACGAAAGAACGAACGAACGAACGAACGAACGAACGAAACGAACGAACGAAACGAACGAAAACACGAACGAACGAAGAACGAACGAACGAACGAACGAACGAACGAACGAACGAACGAAAGAACGAACGAAGAACGAACGAACGAACGAACGAACGAACGAACGAACGAAAGAACGAACGAACGAAACGAACGAAACGAACGAACGAACGAACGAACGAACAACGAGAACGAACGAACGAACGAACGAACGAACGAAACGAACGAACGAACGAACGAACGAACGAACGAACGAAACGAACGAAACGACGAACAAACGAACGAACGAACGAAGAACGAAACGAACAACGAACGAAACGAACGAACGAACGAACGAACGAACGAACGAACGAAAGAACGAACGAACGAACGAACGAAACGAACGAACGAACGAACGAACGAACGAACGAAAACGAAACGAACGAACGACGAACGAAAACGAAACGAACGAAGAACGAACGAACGAACGAACGAACGAACACGAACGAACGAACGAACAAACGAACGAAACGAACGAACGAACGAACGAACGAACGAAGAACGAACGAACGAACGAACGAACGAACGAACGAACGAAACGAACGAACGAACGAACGAAGAACGAACGAACGAACGAACGAACGAAACGAACGAACGAACGAACGAACGACGACGAACGAACGAACAACGAAACGAACGAACGAACGAACGAACGAACGAACGAACGAACGAACGAAAACGAACGAACGAACGAACGAACACGAAACGAACGAACGAACGAACGAACGAACGAACGAACGAAACGAACGAACGAACGAACGAACGAACGAAACGAACGAACGAACGAACGAACGAACGAACGAACGAACGAACGAACGAAACGAACGAAAACGAACGAACGACGAACGAACGAACGAAACGCGCGAACGAACGAACGAACGAAACGAACGAACTAACTAACTAACCTAACTAACTACTAACTACTAACTAACTAACTAACTAACTATCCTAACGACTAACTAACTATCTAACTAAACTACTAACTAACTAACTAACTAACTAACTAACTAACTAACACTAACTAACTAACTAACTAACTAACTAACTAACTAACTAACTAACTAACACTAACTATCTAACTAACTAACTAACTATCTAACTAAACTAACTAACTATTAACTAACTACTAACTAACTAACTAACTAACTAACTAACTAACTAACTAACGAACTAAAGTTATTCTTAAAAAGATATCTCGCTTTTGTTGGCCTATTGATCAGCTTGGTTTAAGGAGGAATTCACAGAAACAAATTTCTGGAACATAGTAAGCTTCCTGAGTGCTATGTTTGTCCAATGCCATAGACTCTAATTTTGATTTCAATTTTCGTTTTTTTGTCTCACTGCGTAATGTAGCGCATTGCAAGAGAAAGTAGAACTTTCCTCTTCCTTCTCGTTGCACCATTTGCAAGTGTTATCCTTGCATAACCTTCTTTTTAAGGAAATATATATGTTCTTTGTGTCCTTTGATAATAATTTATTGTCAAACTGATTAGCAAAAGAAAATTGATATATTCAGACCAAATTTTAATATTTTGTTGGTCACTGTTATTAAACTATCCTAAATTTGGTAGAGGGATTAAATTGTAATAATACTTGATTAATTCATTATTTTTCCAAACGGAATAACAAAGTCATCAGGTTTGATGGTGGGTACAGAAATAGAACTCATTTAAAATATCTGGTTGTATTTTAAGCGAAATAGTATGCGAATTCTCATGCCAATTATGCGTGTATGTATGTATTTACTTTAACATTTTCTGGATATGGCAACTTCGAGAATATTCTTGCGCCTTAGAATATGCCGCATTATGCCATATTTTATTTATGAGTACACATTGAAATTAATGACATTAAATTGGTAACACTTTTTCACTATAAATTAATAACATTTTAGTGTGTATTAAACAATTAAATAATTGTTCAGTTAATATATTTAGTCATGACATAACCTGAAATCAATTAAGCGTGAGTTAACCTTTTCAAATTGGAGTACTAAACTTAGTTTGCCGAATTTCATTGGGCACAAAATTCTTTACTGAAAATGGAATAAAATCCAGCAAATTTAAAAAAATCTTAATAATTAATTATACACACTTAAGTATACTATTTTATGCCAACAGTTACCTAATTATTTCCTTTATATTTGTTTTATTAAAGACAAAGTTACAGAAACGAGTACTTACTTAAAACATAATGAGTAATATAATGATTTAAATTTACACTTCATTGCGAAATTCAAATGTCTAAGATTAATAATTAAAAACAATGAAAACAAACAAACAAATAACTTAAAAACTACTCCAAGATGAAGCGTAGGCAGATGATGACGAAGAGTTTTGATAGCCACCACCATTTGTATTGGTGCCAGTATAACTATGTGTACCCATAGAACCTGGTTGTCCTGACTGACCAGGATGTTGTCCAAAACCGCCTTGGCCACCACTGTATGTATGCTGGCGACCATGCTCATCGGTTATATTAACATGATAGCCACCATTACCGCTAGCTCCCCCATAGGGCATACCATTAGCATCTATACCACAATAACCATAACTAAATTGGCTGTTACCTGGAGCACCTGGTTGTCCAGATTGGCTGCTAGCGCTGGACCAGGAACCGGCTCTGCCACCATTACCTTGACCTTGTGCTGAAATAGAAATTAAAAAGAAAATTTAATTACAATGTATTAACACTTTCCGAAATTTATTGCGACTTACCATTACTCATTAGAACGTAAGTCAATACTATTAGAACACCGGCTAAAACAAATTGGAATGACTTCTTCTTCGTTTAGTGGTTAAACAACTAATGCATGGTGTTTACAAAAACTTTATAAACTTGACTCATTTCATTCATCAGCATATATGTACTTACATATATGTATGTTTTTATTCTTCCTAAAATTTCCAAAATATAAACAAACAATAAACACGAGAGAAAGAAATAGAGAGAGAGAGATAGGCGCAAAAAATTGACTAGCACTCATTTTATATGGAACAAGTTAGCTATTGTATTATATATAATACCCTACAGCAAAAAGTTGAGGCCTAACATGGGACTAGATGTCTGAGTTATTTGTCTTCAGATATATACAATTCAAATATTTTTGCATATTTTATACACACCATGAAAAAAGATAGGAAATATTGATTAAATACATGCAAAAGTATACGAGCAAAATAAAAATTTTTTAAGAATTGGATAAAATTTTTTCCTCTGACAGGAACCATATTTAGTGGTTGAATTGGATAAGAATTACACATGATAAATATGAAAACGTTAATTATTTTCAATGATGCGCGCAAAAGTTATAGCGGTTTAAAATAATAACTTAAACGATAACTTAAATGAATTGCAAATTGAAATTTTGTTTACTTTTTCCAAAATGGATCTTTTTATTTCCTTTTTAACTCAAAAGATAGCTTAGGACTTCTTCTCGAAGAGATTTTTGGCAGTCGTAATTCAGGTCTGAGTTGGGGAATAACATTAAGGACGATAGGCATTCATCATTCAACCCCCAATTATGTACATACTGAATGACATGATTGGCCATACAAAATTTCAGCTGCGAATTACCCAAACTGAATTACGTACGAATTACAAATTAATTTTTCGTTGGTTGGAGACAAATAAAAAGTAAAATCATAAAAATTCAAATAAATAAATAAATAATTATGGGAGGATCGGGGTTTTAGTTTGTGGTAGTACAATTAGATTTACATACATGTACTATGTGCTAAATTGTGTGGTAATACCGATATTTTTAGAGGACGAAAGAAAAGACTAGAGACCATATTTGTTGACAAAGTAGCTGCTATAGTTTTTTAAACAAAAAGCGAATCAAAACTGTTTAGATTAAATTAGTTAGTTAGTTAGTTAGTTAATTAGTTAGTTAGTTAGTTAGTTAGTTAGTTAGTTAGTTAGTTAGTTAGTTAGTTAGTTAGTTAGTTAGTTAGTTAGTTAGTTAGTTAGTTAGTTAGTTAGTTAGTTAGTTAGTTAGTTAGTTAGTTAGTTAGTTAGTTAGTTAGTTAGTTAGTTAGTTAGTTAGTTAGTTAGTTAGTTAGTTAGTTAGTTAGTTAGTTAGTTAGTTAGTTAGTTAGTTAGTTAGTTAGTTAGTAGTTAGTTAGTTAGTTAGTTAGTTAGTTAGTTAGTTAGTTAGTTAGTTAGTTAGTTAGTTAGTTAGTTAGTTAGTTAGTTAGTTAGTTAGTTAGTTAGTTAGTTAGTTAGTTAGTTAGTAGTTAGTTAGTTAGTTAGTTAGTTAGTTAGTTAGTTAGTTAGTTAGTTAGTTAGTTAGTTAGTTAGTAGTTAGTTAGTAGTTAGTTAGTTAGTTAGTTAGTTAGTAGTTAGTTAGTTAGTTAGTTAGTTAGTTAGTTAGTTAGTTAGTTAGTTAGTTAGTTAGTAGTTAGTTAGTTAGTTAGTTAGTTAGTTAGTTAGTTAGTTAGTTAGTTAGTTAGTTAGTTAGTTAGTTAGTTAGTTAGTTAGTTAGTTAGTTTAGTTAGTTAGTTAGTTAGTTAGTTAGTTAGTTAGTTAGTTAGTTAGTTAGTAGTTAGTTAGTTAGTTAGTTAGTTAGTAGTTAGTTAGTTAGTTAGTTAGTAGTTAGTTAGTTAGTTAGTTAGTTAGTTAGTTAGTTAGTTAGTTAGTTAGTTAGTTAGTTAGTTAGTTAGTTAGTTAGTAGTTAGTTAGTTAGTTAGTAGTTAGTAGTTAGTTAGTTAGTTAGTTAGTTAGTTAGTTAGTTAGTTAGTTAGTTAGTTAGTTAGTTAGTTAGTTAGTTAGTTAGTTAGTTAGTTAGTTAGTTAGTTAGTTAGTTAGTAGTTAGTTAGTTAGTTAGTTAGTTAGTTAGTTAGTTAGTTAGTTAGTTAGTTAGTAGTTAGTTAGTTAGTTAGTTAGTTAGTTAGTTAGTAGTTAGTTAGTTAGTTAGTTAGTTAGTTAGTTAGTTAGTTAGTTAGTTAGTTAGTTAGTTAGTTAGTTAGTTAGTTAGTTAGTTAGTTAGTTAGTTAGTTAGTTAGTTAGTTAGTTAGTTAGTTAGTTAGTTAGTTAGTTAGTTAGTTAGTTAGTTAGTTAGTTAGTTAGTTAGTTAGTTAGTTAGTTAGTTAGTTAGTTAGTTAGTTAGTTAGTTAGTTAGTTAGTTAGTTAGTTAGTTAGTTAGTTAGTTAGTTAGTTAGTTAGTTAGTTAGTTAGTTAGTTAGTTAGTTAGTTAGTTAGTTAGTTAGTTAGTTAGTTAGTTAGTTAGTTAGTTAGTTAGTTAGTTAGTTAGTTAGTTAGTTAGTTAGTTAGTTAGTTAGTTAGTTAGTAGTTAGTTAGTTAGTTAGTTAGTTAGTTAGTTAGTTAGTTAGTTAGTTAGTTAGTTAGTTAGTTAGTTAGTTAGTTAGTTAGTTAGTTAGTTAGTTAGTTAGTTAGTTAGTTAGTTAGTTAGTTAGTTAGTTAGTTAGTTAGTTAGTTAGTTAGTTAGTTAGTTAGTTAGTTAGTTAGTTAGTTAGTTAGTTAGTTAGTTAGTTAGTTAGTTAGTTAGTTAGTTAGTTAGTTAGTTAGTTAGTTAGTTAGTTAGTTAGTTAGTTAGTTAGTTAGTTAGTTAGTTAGTTAGTTAGTTAGTTAGTTAGTTAGTTAGTTAGTTAGTTAGTTAGTTAGTTAGTTAGTTAGTTAGTTAGTTACATGCATCAAATCCAAAGGCATACATACGTACATCTAGGCCTATATCTTCATTCCATCATGATACTAATTAATATTATCCACTGATAACAATTTTTCGAATCAGAATTTCCTAACACCTTTTAAGGCCCCATTAGCTCTTAATTGAATAACTTACATCATATATATATGACTTTTATGTTAAAAAAAACGTGAATTTCCTATTCATTCCAAAGTCATGTCTCTTTATTACTTCACGACCTCAGACAAGGTCTTCACAAAAATTTCTTTCTTGCTACCAAAAAAAATGATAAATCAGCAAAATTTATAAAACAAATTTTTGATATAAAAGCAAAGCCAATTATCACCAAAAACATTAACAATCATTCAGCGAATAAACAAAATTAAAATGAAAATTTCAGCTACAATTATTATATTCTTGGTTTGCATTTACTTTAATGCGGTCAACAGTAAAAGTGTAAGTTAATACTTCATACAATGAACCCTCACCTTAATGGTAATGAAAATTCATATATTTAACACCCTTGTTCTTTAATTACAGTTGAAAAGTTTCTATGGCAACTCAAAAAACTATAGCAAAGGTCAACGCAAACCTCTAGCCAGTCCTTTGGGCAATGGTATTCACGATAACTATAAACGTGCCAAACGTGAAACATCCAGAGGTATACAAGAATTTCAAGAAGTTCTAAACACGGCCAAAGTAGAGTGTGTAAAGGAGATGAATATGGATCCCAGCATTATGGAAAAGTCTCTTATGTATGAGGAATATCCCACAGATGAGGAGAAATGTTTAATGATGTGCATGTTAAAGAAAACTAAATTGGTAAGTACAATCAAACTAAACAACAAAAATTTTCCTTTAAACCTATTAACTTTTTAGATGGAAAATGTTAACAAATTGTCAACAAATACTATTGCTCGTATTGCCAGCATGATTTCGGAAAACAATCCCCTAGTGGTGTCGGTTGCTGTGGCTAAAGCTAATAATTGCAACACTTTGATCAGAGCTAATCATCCCTGCGAGGCAGCTTATCAAATCAACAAATGCATTGGCACTGAATTAAAAGCGGCCAAATTGAAGTTGTATTATTAGATCTCTCAAGAGAGAGATAAAGTAAATTATTTTTTTTAAAAAATCTTTTTTATACTAAATTATTTTCATATAGCAAAATTCAATTTATAACAATTTTTTAATGAATTAAATAAATTATTTATCAATTGGACAAATTAAAAAAGTGGACATTTTGAAATTATAAATTTAAATCAATAATTAACTGGAAATTTTAGATTAACATTTCCCTTATTCGATATTTCCCTTCGAAATTTTAAAAACTACATAACTGAATTTTTTCATAGATCCGATAGCGGCCTTTTCTGATCTGGTGAATCATACATCCTCCTTTCATTCTAAACTAATCATATGGTATTATAATTTAAACATAAATATTTTTCAATGATGGTAGGAGTCCTTAAAAGACGAGATTTTGCCCAAACTCGCGACCTCGGATTTCTATACAAAACTCGTTCAAAAGCCTATATACGATTGAGAGTCCCATGCAATGTTTAAACAACAGGAGGTAGTATTCTATCACTGGGAAACCTTAATTTTCTAGTGTAGATCTCGCACGAGTACGCATAAGTTACTATTTTCACTCATTGTATGTAGGAGAAGATGAAGAAGTAGAATCGAAAGGATTGTAGTGTATATTAATGTAGTATTAGAACCAGTCTTTAGCAATGAGATATGTATATCAATGGGTTGTTTCGGTTAGATATAGTGTATCTCACTAGGAATTTATTTCTCTTAGCAACTAAGGCAAGGCATTCGTAAAGAAGGTGGAATACAGTTTTCTTTTTATCCATGTCATTTCAACTGCTTTAAAATTCGTTAAAAAAGCGGTCAAGCCGACTTGCATGTATGCCTAGCACCCAATGTCCAGTTTTCACCGGCAAACTGTATTTCTACTTTAAAAAAAAATGCCCTCTATATGAGTCAGGGTTATTTCATCTTTTTCTGAAGAAAGAACCTGAGGATACTACTTGTGATAAATCCTAACGGACTTTTACTGAAACGGCGTAGAGCAGATCATGTTCTTTCTAGCACATTTGCTTAACTGTCCATTTCCATAGTAGTATCTATGCTCAGGCACCCAAACTAGGATAATGTCAGACAGGCTATCCAGCCTTGGCAGATCCTTCTTGCATTGTAGTTAGTTTGAGAGTTTATTTATAGAAAAAATGTCAGAAAAAATGCCTATATTACCACGAACATTGAAGTCGCATAATGCCCTACAGGCAGTCATTATCGCAAATACTTTAGCCTGAAAAACATTACAGTTGTTAGGAAGACAGTAAGAGATACTTATCTTAGCTTCTTCGTCGAAGACACTATAACCAATACCGCAGTTAATTTTACTCAGTAAGTTACCCATAGAAACTCTGACTTTGAAAACTCTCAATTAAATTCCGTATATGGGGTAGTATAGTCGAATGGTTGGCTCAAGATTGGAGGTAGTGGACTTTTACTCATAACATGCCTATATGTTCTTGATCTTCAGTATCATCGCTGTTTTGCAGAAGGATGTGTTCCGGCTAAACATTATAGAGAAATCAAAAGGTACCATTTGAAGAATGGAAAATTACCAAAGAGTATACTCACTTACAGAATATAATTCAGTCAAGACCATATATGTTAAAATTTATGTTCCTAGATTGGATATTATAAAAAATTCAAAAGGTACAATTTATGATATAAAAAGTACTAAAAAGTTCTCTCTTAAAGAATCTTATTCAACGAGGACCGTGTATGTTTCATATGTATGTTTTTCATGTTTTGAATTCATATTATAAAACATATAGAATATCATTTGCAGAAAGAGAAAGTACCAAACGTGGAATAAATTCTAACTTAGTGGAAAGTACTAATAAAAATAGTAAAATTTTTACCCCTTTCGCTTAGAAATATACTTTTTTGAGAATTAAGTTTACAAAATATTCCGTATTTAAATCTATATATCAAACATTATAGAGTTAGTCCGAAATTTAATAGGAATAATTTAATAAACCGAAAAAGTTTTTTTAATGTGCTAAATATACAAATTTCCAAAAATCCCTCCTTAGTGGATCTACAAAAACATATCTACTGTCAAAATTTCATTATTCTAGGTTCAGCCGTTTGGGCTGTGCGATGATGAATCAGTCAGTCAGTAACGCTACTCTTTTATATATATATAGAATTATAAAAAAATCAAATCTATATATATAAAAATGAATGTGTGTTTGTTTGTATGTTTGTATGTTTGAACGTTATAGACTACAAAACTGCTGAACCGAAATTTTCACAGCGTATTCCTGTATGTCTGGAATAGGTAATAGGCTACTTTTTATTTTGAAATTTCAAGTGGGCCAGGTGCCACGCCCATATTAGAAAATATTAAATCCGTATATTTGAGATAATATAACAGTTAGAGTCCTCAAATTTTGTCGGAGCCACTTTAGTGTCAATATGATTATTTAGGACAAAAAGGCGGGCTTTAATCTTGGGGCTTCAAACCCCCACATGAATTTAATAGAAAAATTCTTATATCTGAGAAACTATAAGATGTAGAATCTTTAAATATTACATGAAGTACTTTGACATTAATGTGAACATTTGGGGAATAATTGGCGGACTTTAAATGGGGGACTTGGCACTTCCCATATTAATTAAATACAAAAATTCATTTATCTGGGAAACTAATAGAACTAGATTCCTCAAATTTTGCATAAATTACTTTAATATTCAACTGAACATTTTGGGGGAAAACGAGGATAGCAAAGCACACTGGGTAAAGCTAGTATTTTCTATATATATAAAAATGAATGTGTGTTTGTTTGTATGTTTGTATGTTTGAACGTTATAGACTACTAAACGGCTGAACCGATTTTCTTGAAATTTTCACAGCGTATTCCGGCATGTCTGGAATAGGTAATAGGCTACTTTTTATTTCGAAAATTGAAGTGGGCGATGAGCCACGCCCACATTAAGAAAATATAAAATCCGTATATTTGAGATAATATAACAGTTAGAGTCCTCAAATTTTTTCGGAGCCACTTTAGTGTCAATATGATCATTTAGGACAAAAAGTAGGCGGACTAGCATTAGGGGGCGTGGCACCTCCCATATAAATTAGACACAAAAATTCGTTTATCTGGGAAACTAATATAACTAAATTAAATACAAAAATACGTTTATCTTGGAAACTATTACAGTTAGAATCTTAAAATTTTGCACGAAAAACTTTAACCTCCATCAAAACATTTTGGGTAATAAATTGGCGGACTACCCATGAGGGGAGCGGCACCTCCTATATTAATTAAAGACAAAAATTCGTTTATCTGGAAAATTAATGGAACTAAATTCTTCAAATTTTGCACGAAGAACTTAAATATTCATTTGAACATTTTGGAGGAAAAAAGCGGTCTTTCATCTGGGGGGTCTTGAAGCCCCCACATGAATCAAATAGAAAAATTCGTATATCTGAGAAACTATTAGAGCTAGAATCTTCAAATTTTACATGGAGAACTTTGAAATTCATGTGAACATTTAGAGCATAACGGGCGGACTTTCAATGGGTGGCTTGGCACAACATATATGAATTAAATACAAAATTTCGTGCATATTGGAAACTCTTATATTATTCAAATTTTTTATAGATAGATAGAAATTGGCGATAGATAGAAACTGGCGAACTTGCAATAATTTGCTTGACATCTTTCATATGTTACATATAATAAATCTGGTATTTATTTATACATATTCCTTTTAGGGTAGCAAAGCACACAGGGTATAGCTAGTTAATAAATAAAAATTAATTTGTGTTTGTATGTTTGTGTGTTTGAAGGTTATAGACTACTAAACGGCTGAACCGATTTTCTTCAAATTTTCACAGGTTATTCCTGCATGTCTGGAATAGGTAATGGGCTACTTTTTTATTTTGAAATTCCAAGTGGGCGGGGAGCCACGCCCATATTAAGAAAATATGAAATCCCTATATTTGAGATAATATAACAGTTAGAGTCTTCAAATTTTGTAGGAGCCACTTTAGTGTCAATATGAATATTTAGGACAAAAAGTAGGCGGACTAGCATTAGGGGGCGTGGCACCTGCCATATAAATTAAATATATCTTGGAAACTATTACAGTTAGAATCTTAAAATTTTGCACGAATAACTTTAACATCCATTTAAACATCTTGGGTAATAAAATGGCGGACTACTCAGGAGAGGAGCGGCACCTCCCATATTAATTAAATACAAAAATTCGTTTATCTGGGAAATTAATGAAACTAATTTCTTCAAATTTTGCACGAAGAACTTAAATATTCATCTGAACATTTTGGAGGAAAAAAAGCGGACTTTCAACTGAGGAGCTTACAGCCCCCATATGAATTAAATATATCTGAGAAACTATTAGAGCTACAATCTTCAAATTTTACTTGAGGAAAAAAAAGCGGACTTTCATCTGGGGGGCTTGCAGCCCACATATGAATTAAATAGGAAAAATGCATATATCTGAGAAACTATTAGAGCTAGAATCTTCAAATTTTACTTGAAGAATTTTGACATTGAACTTTGCACCTCCCATATGAATTAAATATAAAATTTGGTTTATCTGGGAAACTAATAGAACTTGATTCTTAAAATTCTGCAGAAATTATTTAAATATTCATCTGAACATTTTGGGGAAAAAGTGCGGGCTTTCATCTGGGGAATCTTCAAATTTTACATGAAAAACTTTGACATTCATGGCAACATTTAGAGAATAACGGGCGAACTTTGAATGGGTGGCTTGGCACCACATACATATATAAATTAATTACAAAATTTCGTGTATCTTAGAAACTCTTATATTATTCAAATTTGTCATAGACAGATAGAAATTGGCAATTGACAGAAACTGGCGAACTTGCAATAATCTGCTTGACATCTCTCATATGTAACATATAGTAAATCTGGAAAACTATTGTAGTTAGAATCTACAAAATCATTAAGTGGGTTTTTTATTTATACATATTGCTTTTAGGGTAGCAAAGCACACTGGGTACAGCTAGT